GCTTTGAATAATCGCATTAATTCACAGTATGGATTATCTTTGTTCACTTGTAAACGAGGATAAGACTTATTGTCACATTAATTATGTCTACTACGTCAATATCGTTGCAAGAGAGAAAGTTTAAAAATTGAACCATACCTTGTCAGTCTATACTCATTATGAGTTGCAAGTTAACTTGATACTTGCATTTAATCATTCAGCAGCACTAGAGCTAACTCAACTATTAATATTAGCCTGGAGATTAAAAAGAAAGAAAAAAATGAATTATTATTATTCATTAAAAAAAATGCTCGAGATAATAGAGTGAATAATTAACAGTAATTTATCAAGTCATCACTTTCAGGGCTAATGAAAAAAATTGTTTAATGATGAGAAAGGCGTAGAAAATTAATGGGATGTTTTGAAAAAATTAAATTACAAGAATTAATTTTACTTTTCATCATAATGATTTTCTGGAATTGATCTAAAATTAACTTCTTCATGAATTCGGCTCGTTTCAATCGACTCAGCAAAAAAAAGAATTTCCTACATCTGTTCATCTACCCAACTGTTTATTATATATGGAAAAAATATTTTATTACTATTTCTATTATAATTATGATTATTTCTGTTATCTGTATGACTATTGTTACGTAATTTTGAGTTAATTTACAAACCTTATGTTGTTAGTTCAAATGTGTAATTACATGTACAATCATAGATCCACATATGGAGGTACATTAAAGTCGTAGTGGTGTAGTACTATCATTTATAAGAATGGCAAATTTCTAATTTACTTAATTTTAAATAGAGCTATATGCTAGCAATATAAACTACATAAAACTCAAGTCTTTAATTATTCGCAATTAACAAACTCGATGTGTATAAGCCCGTGAAGTAAGTTAATTAGAAGTGATTCCAAGCTTTCATTCAATATACTAACGACTACCTTTTGATATAAATGTGTTAACTAATATTCAGCTGGTTCATAAATAATTGAATAATCTTTTATACTAAACTAACTGTCTATACAAGTTTTTTGGTCGTACATTTTTTGCCAGACATTATTGATTTATAACCACCAACTTCAAATTTTAATAAGATTAAAAAAATATTTTCAACTCGAGTGGTTTTATATAATAAGCTCACTCAAGTTTACATGTGAAAAATATTCAGCAAAGCATCATTTGTTGGTACTTTACTTTGTAATATTTTTTATTGGAGAATTTTTTATCTGACGTTTCATCGAGCATAATTATTTTTTCTTTCTCGTAAAGAGGAGAATATAAAAGGGGAAATTAATTTTCCAACTTTTTTTCTGAAACTTATGAGACGTTTTAACTTAAATTATTAATGTCAAGTCTCAATAAATGGCGTAGGCGAACGAGTATTCTAATGGATATATAGATTGATTTAGCCAAGTGAGATGTGTGCTAGTTTCACAAGTGTACTTAGAGAGAGGTTCAAGGGGTTGTGGTCCCTAGTGTTAATTAGGCCACCGGTTGCACGATAAATGACCACCATTCACTTACTTCATACAAATTGGAGTCTACGAGAAATTTCTTGAACATGGGATTAAAAGTTGATTAACATTTAAATTTGTGAATAGAGATTTATTGGTTAGGACGTTTTTTTATTATCGAAAAGTTCGACGATTTTACACTGAATAATTAGCAAGAATTTACATGGTATTTTAGCATGGGGTACACAAAAACTAGTAGCTACCTTGTCGGCAAAAATTTTTTACCTCGAGGCTTCCTCTATTCTGGCTGAAAGATAATTAGTCAGTAATTACCTTGCTTGTGTTAAAGTTGATGTTGTTCCTAATAATAACTTGTCTTTCATTACTTTCTGTAGGATCAAAAGTAAAACAAATTAAGGGCTCGTCATGTAGGGCAATAAAAAAATTTTTTTGTCATTTTTTGACTTTTATAAAATAAAAACTCATACTTTACTATTAAATGTTCTATAAAATTACTTTAATAATCTTGATGTAATAAATTTCATTTCTTAAGAAAAAAACGTAATTCAAATTTTAAAAAATCCATTAAGTAATTTTATTACAATCATAAGGTTTTTTTTTTCTTAAATTTAATTTTAAAAAATTGTGTGTTTTATTATTAATTAGTTCTAAATGACCTATTTTAATAATCTGCACATAATAAAGAAAATTAAATTTTTATATTTAAATAATAAAATACTTTATAGTTAATACAAATTTTACTTGAAATAAATATCTTTTTAAAAAGAGAATGTAACTTTGTCAGTAAATTGTTGTAAAATTATCACTCCTATATTTTATGAAAAACATTTTTAATCAAAAGATTATTCCAGGATGATCTATAATGCTTTCAAAAGAAGTAATAGAACAGAAAAATGGTAATAATTTAAGACACACACCGGAAAAGTTATTTTAAAAATTATTAAATGAAAGTGTAAGTTCAGCAATTTAACTTAAGACTATTGTAATATAACAGCAGATAGGTAATCAAGCGAACTTCCTTAGAGAATTTCTTAGCCATCAGTTTCTTTTTGTCGACAACAGCAAAATGAACGATTGTGAGATATAAGTTCCAATGAAGCCAACAAGACTTTCGAAATTGCACTCGGTACGTTTTGCCATCTTTCAGTTGAATGAATAGTTTGTAGAAAAATGAAAAAAGCGGAAAATTTAAAAGAAAGAGCTGGGTTAAAATATGGTCCAATACCGATGCAAGACTAGATTACGAACCTCAAATACCACCAATTGAATTCGATTTACAAAGAGTAAAGAAGACTTTGATTGAAAACAGCTCGATTTCAATCTCGTTCATCTTGCGTGCTGAGACCGTCTGGCTGAATAAACACTGACTTTCTCACTTCTAGTACTACTGATGCATAGTCACAGAATCAATTCATGGCTAGTGAGGTGTTAAGGCTATTGTTTGTCACTCAAAATAACAAAGATTAAATTAACTTGAATTGAATTACAAAGTTTCCAGCTTTTTCATTTAAAAAAAAAAAATTTTTTTTTCATGGATTATCAATTTTTTATCATTTTTTTTAACACTATTATTCTTGAATAATTAATAAAAAAAAAAGTGAGGTCGTTTTTTACTATCTAAAACAGCATCATTGATGCTCTAATAACGAGAACAATCACTATTACTTCAATGTGCAAGTCTCTGAGCTTTAAAGCTCTAGGTAAATAATCCTTTAATTACGAATATGAAATATTTAATGGAGACAAATGAGAACTATTTAACATGGGAACAATTATTTAGGAAATAAAGAATAATAGAATAAGCAAATGCTAATGGAAGATGAGAAAAATTAGTTAAATTGTCATCATCAAGCAACATTATCTTATCAATCGGAACATTACAGCTATAAATCACAAGGGTAATGGTAGCTTTTCGCATCTACTGTCATTTTGACAATATAGATATTTTGATACACGTATTTGGACCATTAACGACGCACCCTGATATTGCTAACAATACTACTGTGACTTTGATATCGCATCGTCAAACCTTCCGCTTTACTTCCCATACATATCTCTTGCATGAATGTTCCCTCGATGTGTTTCAAAGCGAATCGTCTTTGAAATTCAAGCGTTTCAAGACAAGATAAAATATAATAAAATATCAAGACTCATAATAAAATTTTTGTATATACTTAAATTGAATTATTATTATTTTTTTTTATTTAAATAATTTCTTTTTATTATATTATTTTAATAATTCATGAAATTAGTAAAACATTTTTAAATAGGAGAGAAAAGTATAATGAGAATTTGTAAAGTAAAATATTCATAATTGTAATTATTCAATTTAATCACTATAATATTCCTAATATTTGTATAAACTTCATTGTAAACTTCACATTGTAATACTTTAAGTGTTACAATTTAGTATTAATTTTTTTTTTCATCTTATAATCTTTCATAAAATCCCCACGTACCTTCTATCTGGGTATTTTATTCATATTATACTGAATATCTACAATAATAAAGATAACATTTTTTATTAAAAAAGTATTTCAAAAAAAATTATTATTACACTTATTTTATTTATTTGCAACGAAAACTGAAGATAATTTTTACATAATTGTCTTTTTGTCAAAACAATTATTTATTATGATTAAAATGACACATTCAAACGGATAATTATAGAGTAAATATGAAAACTTATTGATAAATAGAAAAAATTCCAATATCATGATCAAATGCAAAGTCGCAAGCAGAGTAAATAACACAAGTTTCATTGGAGCTTTTTCTTCGAGTTTCACAAATTTCTGAGAAGTCAACTTTAAAAGTTATTTACAAAATCAATACCATACAGAGGAAATAATTAAACAAAGAAGTAAAAAGTACAGAAGTTAACGCGTAATATGCATGCAAGAAAAGAAGGACTAACCAAGTCACGCTATCATTTTCGTGCACAAGATTTATAAAATTTGTGATCTACCGAGTCTCCAACGTCACATTTACAATTTCTCATTGTTTATATTTAAATAAATTACTTTTACTTTCCTGTTTATTCATATTTATTCCACAACAACAAAATGATTAAAAGTACTTTGATTGCATTTTGAAATCAAAATAAATTCAAGTTAAAAAAAGATGTAGTTTAAATGTCATGAGTGTATACTTATTGTGACAAGATTAATATTGTTATACATTAATTCATAATTAATCGAGAAATATATTAAACAGAGTTTCAGTATATTTATAATGGAAACATATAATATATCACCCAATTCTCTATTAAAATTATTTCTCATACATTATTTACCTTTTATCTCTAATTTAATGAAATACTTATTGCTAATGAAATTAATAATATTAATCACTTTATTACATTCATCAAGTAATGTTTTCAAATATTTATAATTAGAGTATGTAGTTGTATGTTTTATTTATTTTACACTTTTTATTCATAAAATTATTTGAAAGGAAATAATTTCTTTTCCTCTCATTATATTCTTATAATAGATATTTTTTATATCATTTATTTGATTATTATTTTTTTTAATTACAGGTTTTTTACGAGGATTATTACTGAGTTCTTTGAGACAATTCTAAAGAATTAAAGGTAAGCCTTTAACAGGCAAAAAATTTTATTTAAAAATAAATCAAGTTTATTTGAGTATTTTCCATTCGATAACTTTAAACAACACCTTTTTTATAATCTTTGCATCTTTTTTTCTTATTTTCGTTCATGAATGTACGTTTCTTATACACTAGAATAGGTCTAACGATTGTGAATTTAAGTCATTTCGGTGGGTGAATTATTCATGACTTATGTGAAACTTAAAAAGCTTAAACTATATCGAACTTGCAAAATAGAAGTATGACGAAAAGGAACAGAAAGGAAGAGAAAGAGAAGTTGGTGGGAGTAAAGTGAAGAAAAACTTTTTGACAACTTCCACCAAGTGGGCAGGTCGACTCGGCAAGCAAACCAGTAATCTCAACGCAGTACTCTCTGATAGTTTCGTACGATTCGCCCTTAATAACCCGAATATACTTCTACTGGTTGTACCTTTGCTTGAAAAACTTTTTAGTCATATTGCCTGTACGGATTTATAAGAAGATCTGGACTTATTTGAAAAGTTTATACAATCTTCGACGCAACACGCTGCCCTGTAAATATTCCTGAATTTCAAAAAACTTTCCAAATAATAAAAAATATCGCATATTATTATGAAATTGACACTTCTGTTAGGAAAAGAAAAAAAAAATTGTAACTTCTCAGACACTTTGATCAAATTTTTTGATATAATTATATTAACATGGTTTTATAATATTTAATAAATAACAATATTGTATTGATTCAAGTTTTAAAGTTATACTCTATTATTATTATTATTATTCGGCGTTATATAGTTACACCAATTTAGTCAATTTTTTACCATCAATAGTAAATTTTTATTAATAAAATTAAATCAACTGAAATTACAGTAAAAACAAACAAATACTACAAAATTAATTTTCTCAGTATTAAATTTTTTGTAAATGATAATAAATTAAATTAAAAAAACCTCCTTCAAATATTTTTATTATTTTTTATTTTTAAAAATAATAAAAGTTATTAAAAAAAAACAACACTTCTCGTATTTGTTATCGATCTCTGTATAATAACTAAATCTATCGTTTTTGATGATTTCATCCAATATATTGAAAAAAAAAATCAAATTGATTGAAAATTATGTATTCTGCTGAAATAATAAACTATCTATAAAAAAAAAATATACATTTTTCAAACTAAAAAAAAAAACATTTTTTTGTTTATGAAGTAGAGAATAGCTTTTATTGAAATTGAATTTAAACCTGAACATTTGTCTGTTGGTTTCACTTCAATAATTCGCAATGGTAATTAGAATTCGATAAAAGTGCGTAGAATTATAAAATATTTGCTAATTTCTAGACTAATTTAGCAGGTGCGTATGAATATGGCATTCATATTAATAGTTTGATACTAGTTCCCATGAGTAAAACAAAGTCTCGGAGTTAATATTGGGCAAAGTTACGCCTTCACTCGTGCCATCGAGATACCACAGAACCGTAAATTTCATTAATGCATCCGGACTGAATACAATATGAAATCCGTAGATACACTCTCCCATTAGATACACAAGTTTTATTATAATGTTCAACCGTCCTTGTGTAAACAAAAATAATGTGCTTATGCTGGCGATTTCATAGAGCATTTTTCCATTAACATATTTTGCATTATCAGCTTCTATTGTATGCAATATTTCTTATCCATTTTTTCATGAGCTTTTTATCTTCTTTCATTTCAATAATTTCAGGCAAATACATTGAAGGGTTTCCCATGTCTTCCCTTTTCCTCAGATATGCCTTGGCTTCTCATTCATCATCGATCTTATACTGAAGGGTTTCATCTCTTCAAGTCTTTTAAAATACCTGCTGACAAAGTTTCTTTAAAAAAATGATCTACATAATCATTCTAATTATCTTGACCTGTAAAACAGCAGACGATAAACACTAATCTTCACTCCTCCTACTTCATTTTTTAAACGTCGTCTTATTTCACATGAGTTGTCTTCGTCTTTTACTGTTCCTCTTTAAATTCTAGTACTTAACCCATATTCTCAGTTGAATCTTTGATCCATCAGCTGTAGATTCTCATCCCTTTTTTATTTCAGGTCGCATTTGAATGATTTGATGGTGGGATAAAAGACTTTTTTTCATCCCTAGAATTATGTATGATAAAAGAAAATTAACTGAATTAAAACACTTGAAAATTTTTTTTATATTTATGTGAATTAAATACTGATGTGTATGAAATACATAGAAATACTATAGTAATTATGTTTCGTTTAATATAAATAATTACGAAAATTATTTGATAGCTATGAATTGAGTTATAGTCAAAAATTCTGTTACAATAAATTATAATTATTCGTTAAAAAAGAATTTTCATGCCAACATAATGAGTGTACTTTGCCAATTTCAATATTCATTTTAACCATTTTTAATTAGAGTATATCAAATATTTATTTTAATTAATATCGTTGTTGAAGCATTAATAATAATATTGTAAAATTATTAATTAGGTGAACTCATGCAGAATAATTTATTTAAATGGAAACCATATAAAAAGCTTACTTTAAATGAGCTATTTGATAAGATGAAAATAATATGTAGAGTTAAAGACAGGATGATCTGTGATGATAACCGAAATAGCGTTAATTTGAATTATTCAGAAAACGAAATATGATCCTCAAAGTCATTTTGTATTAGAGTAATTCGTGAAGACTCCCATTGCTCAAGTTTTCTCGAGAATAATTTCACGTCTTAACCCCTCAAAGTTTTCTAGCAAACTCTTGTACTTTCATTAAAAGATTTAACCTTCCGTGTAACTTGGAAAAGTGAATTTTCATCTTAACTTTTTAGCCACGTAACAACGTGTCAGATGTAAAATTTTTTCTCATAAATATGTTAATCCACTGTTTCATTCTTAACACTTGACATAACGCCCAGTCTTACAATCTTTTATGCATCTTCATCAATCAAAGTAATAATTATCATAAATTTAGATATTCATTTATAATATCACAAATTCTGTCTGATCACTTTTACTTTGTTCGCAGATAATAGAGATTTTATATCTCTTCGAGTAAGTCTGGCTCTTTATTTTTCTTCTCAAGTACCTTGGAAGAAAAGACAATGAAATTGATTCCATTCCTGAACTTAAGACAGGCATTTAACTGGTTATTAATAGCCAAGGGGGTGTAAAAGGGGATTGAGGGTTATAATAAGTTAAGGGTCGTTAATGTCAAGAAGTCAATAAGACACAATATCAGACAAAACGTGGGGCTCTGTTATAAGTACCCAAGTAATTATGCAAGCGAGATGGTAGCTAAGAAGGCAAATATAAACCCCTTCAGATAAATTTTGAAATACTATTTGTCTCATGCGACAGGAAATGGGGTAATACGGCACTATTAAACATCACAAGTAACCTTGTTCCCTTGACAGGACGGAAAAGCACTGAGAGACTAGATCCACAACTCCTCCCAGCTTTACCACGCAATGTGTCCCTTGAAATCTATTAACATGCGACGTAATTAAATCCTCGGATTTCGTCTACATGAGATTGATGAGTTACAGAATGACGACAGGGTTACTTTCTATTTATTCAATGCAATTACACAAACTACACATAATTCAAGTTACAAGTACACGTATTCATGCTATTAAATATGTAATTATTCCGAGAATTGCATAATTTCTCAACAGAGAATGATGAATAATCTATAAGACACTTTTGAGAGTTAAAAGGAAGGAAATTCGAATCTTGTCAAAGAGATACAGCGATATCATGTGCATAAATATTTTATTCCTAAACGACAAGACGAAAAGACTTTAAGCACTTTTATCGGTGCATCATGATGAGTTCAACACTCTTAACATAGTCCAATGGAGCAAAGGATGCATATAGCTTGCTTCCCAAAAAATGGCTTCAAAGACTTTTTCGCCCGCTTAGTTTATTCTGTATCTAGATATCTTTCTTATAAATTCGTGGCCCAAAAAAGTACATACTCTTTACGGTTACTTGGTGCATATCTAACTTGCATTGCTACAAATTTACAAGTCAAATGCTTTGGATCAATAAGATCAAGCTGCGGCTTGTAAGAATAGATAGATATTCACTTTGAGCTTTCGAGTGCTCTGAAAGTAGGAAAAATCGTTTCTTAACATTTTCTATGAAGAGACTCGATAGAATACTTATTGAGTAACCATCAACTTCTCTACTGAATTTTTACTTAACATTCAATTCTTTCTCTTACTATTATTATATTGTATTTTTTGATGTAAAATAATCCATTCATATTTTACGCTTCAATTAAAGAAAAATTATTTCCTTGTATTAGTGATTGTTTTAACACCTATTAATAAACCGAAGATTATTTGCATAGTGTTTATTTTCCGAAGGAAACAATGCATGACCATTAAATACGCTCTGATTCTAAATAAATGACTCATTTAAATACTATTGAAATTATAATAAGTCAAATAACGCAAACATCGACCGTATTTCTCCTTGTCGTGTCCATAAGACCAGAACATGATGAATCGCGTGAAATCATGGTTGTTAATGGAAACTAATTTAAACCTTGACCTCAGTATGGAAAAGAGGTAAAAAAGCTTGGAAATAAAATTCAGGAAAAGGTAGAATGTTGTAAATTATAACTTTAGAATCAAAATGAACATCAGATCCTTTGGGATATGTGTGAAATTACTGCAACAAAATAAATTTGTTTAGTGCAACAACCATAAAAATTTCGAATTATTTTTTTAATTTTTCATGAGTTTGAAAGAAAAAAAAATTTAATTAACGTATTTTTTGTTTCAGTGAAAACATGAGACAGCCAGTGACAACATTCTTCTGTCTGGGGCTGATATTTATGATGGGTAATGGTCAAGAAACTTGGGATTGTGATCCGCCATGCAATTGCAAGTGGTCATCAGGCAAAAAGACAGCAGATTGCATGCGCCAGAATTACTCTCAAATACCAGACTACCTGTCATCAGATATACAGAATTTAGATCTCACCGGAAACCGAATAAACCACCTTACCGCTGGAGCTTTTAGCCGAGTTGGCTTGATCAATTTGCATAAACTCGTGATGAAAGATTGTGGAATTAAAACAATAGACAAAGATGCTTTTACTGGTTTGAAAATAGTTATTGAGATAGATCTTTCCAATAATAATATAACGACTTTAGTGCCAGGAACTTTCTATGATACACAAAAACTACGAGTATTATTACTTAATAATAATTATTTAATGTCTTTGGAAAGTGGATTATTTCATGATTTGGTGCATTTGCAAAAAGTAGATATTTCTAATAATCAATTAGAAAGAATTTCTGATAAAACATTTAAAAACCTAACAGGTTTTCTTACATTGACTCTAGACAGCAATAATTTAACAACAGTAAAATGGGGAACATTTGACAATTTACCAAAACTAGGTAGTTTGGGATTACGAAATAATCCATGGAATTGTAATTGTCATTTAAAAAAATTCCGTAACTGGGTGATTGAAAGGAAGTTATACACAAAACCAACAACATGTAAGCAGCCTGAAATGTTGGAAGGTAAAATGTGGGATGAAGTTGACAGTGAAGCATTTGCTTGCAGACCAAAAATACTATCTATAGGACCATCTCCTAGACTGGAGATTGGTGATTCAGTAACAATGTGGTGTCACGCTGCTGGAATACCTCGACCTAAACTATCGTGGATGCATCGTTCCAGAATTCTGAGCAACTCTACGAAGCGACATGCCGGCGACAGAAGATACGTTTTAACGGAACGACACGAGTGGCTGAATCTCACTATTACAGACATAGTAGCATCTGACAAAGGCGAATACATATGCAAAGCAGAAAGTCTAGGTGGTAGCGTAGAGAGAAATACCAGTATTTCTATCGTGGGAGATGCAGAAAGTGGAGGAGCGGGATTCATCAGTCTACCTCTAGCACTTGGTCTTGGTGTAACATTGCTTATTCTATTGCTCTTCTTTCTGACACTGTGTACGTGGTATTGTCGTAGACGTCGAGTGCGTCACGATGAGAAGAACGCTGATGTGACCTCTCTGGAGCACCACGGCCTCGGTGAACAAGAAAAGTCTCTCATTACTGCCATCAATCCTGTAGTGAAGCCACCAAGAAGATACGAAGCACCTTCCGTCACGTCCCATGGCACTGAGATGACGGAACTCAATCGTACTCTTCTCGACAACGATTCTGTCTTCGGTCAGTACACTGCTTTTATTACGAAACAATGCGTTCTCAAATAATTATCACCATTATTACTATCATTGCTACATTTTGTCATATAAATTTCTCATCATCTCTTGACAGAGATTATACTCGGGATCAATTCACGATACATTATTTTGTATATATGTAAAAAACACTTTAGACAAAAATATTGTCACCAACAATTGTACAATATATACAATATATAATTAAATTATTCATTGGATTAAGGGTATCGTTTTAATTAAGAAAAGTGAATGAGCAAGGGAAAAAGAGTAAATGGAAATAAAAGAAAATAAAGTAAAATTGAAATAGGGTTGAATAGGTCTGTAAAAAATAACTAGATGAGTGCTAGGTAATTATAGTCATGGGAAGTCGAGTTCAGAGACATTTTAATTTTTGTAAAGCTAGATGAAAAGTTATTTGATTTAATTTGAGACTATCCTTCGAATGGACCACTTTTTAAAGTGATATCATAGCGAAATATTATTTAGTTAATACAACTGATATTGAGTAAAATGGTAAAGTGCCTCTGGAACTTACAGATGATAGTTTCCAGCAATAATTGAACCAAATTTATTCATTATACTTTTTTGTTTTTTCTTTATTTTAACATTATTTTTTTGTTTCTTTTCCCACAGCTGACGGCGTGGGAAGCATAATTGGTGTCGTTGGAGGTATGGTCGACGATGAGCGAGAGAGAGCAACACCAGAGTTTGAAAGCGGCACTTTAACACGTGGTGCCAGTTACAGACATTATCCGCCAGATTTGTTAGCCTTTTCTGGCGGTAGAGGTGCATCACCGACAAGCCAAGCTTCGACGATTCCAGATAATTCACGTCCACCAAATCAATCATTTGGTTCGCCCTCTTCGGGTCAATATCCTGCTTTTAAAACACTTCCACATAACAGAAGCGCAACGTCCTATTCACCAGCTATACCAGTAATGCCTCGTCATGGTTATGTTACAATACCAAGAAGACCACGGGCACCAAGTTGGAGTAGTGGACCACCAACTTCTCCGAATAAGATGTTGGAGCCTGTTTACGACAATTTAGGACGGCGCACAACCGCCGACGGCAGTTCCGTTTTATCGCTGAACGAAAGTCCAGAACCAAGTACAACATCAATCAGAATACGACCACTTCCGGGCACACCAACGACTCACTACAACTCAATTCAACGAAGTAATCCCAACATCCTTAACGTAAGTCCCTTAGATAGATCAGCGCCTGAAGGGGCTGCCGAGTGGTTCACCAAACTTCCCGATGAGATGGAGAACAGAATACAATCTGAAACTAGCACCAGCACATTAGGAAGGAAGATCCCACCAAGACCACCACCTAAACCAAAGAAGAAGTCTACCAATGGACCTCTCTACGAGGATGAGGGTGAAGATGGAACAGAAGTCTGATTTTCATGGTCTAGTAAATGAAGGTTCCTCTGAATAGAAACTTTTCCTTCGTTAACGACCATTAGTGCCTTCATGACAAGTGAAGTATATTTGTGCCAGATATTGGGATTATCGTGGGTCTTCCAATCCCCTTTTTCCACATCAATTCATAAAATTTGTGTAAAAGACTTGACAAAATAATGATCAAGTACTGATGTTAGTAATGTTCTTCCATTACTTTTATGCTGTCCTTTTTCTATGTACATCAATCTGCTAAAAATTAATTGCTTTCAACTTTAAATAAATCACAGTCGAGTTGGCAATAAATTTGTTCGTATAAATCAACTTTTTTCTAATTCAATCTGGTATTAATCAAGAAAGAAAATTATTCCGTTAAATCACGAACGCATCTGGTCTATGTAAATAAGAAATTCGTATAATCTATTCTGTTCACTGCCTTATCATTTAAATTCATTTAACGACTCAAATATAATCAATTACTTAACAAAAGATTCTACCGTATATAATCAGTGCTACGTGCTCGATATGATTTATTTCCAACTTCAATACATCATATAAATCAGCATTAACTAACAATCGCGGAATAATCAGTATAATTAGTTGTTGATTACCTTTTAGATAAATTCTGTTGACATCATAGTTATAAAATATGACAGGAATTTTACAATAAGGACGTTCCTGTTAAATGTAATCATTACAATCAATTATGATTGATACGAAATTATTTGACTGCAGTATGAATGATCATTGGACGTAAATATGATTTATTTATTAATAGATAGGTATATTGATAAAACTGATAAAAAGTATCAATACAATATATTTCAATAAGACTTTAAAACATATTTGTTAATGATCAAAGAATTCTTCCAATTCTATTTCATGTAGAATTTGCAATACATGCATTTAACAATTATACTATTTCAAGTATATATTTACACATGTGCTAAGTTTTTTAAAGTTTCATTTATTCCATTTCTATTATTATCATTATTATAATTATTATTATTGATAATTTTATAATCATCATCATTTACAATTATTATTATTAATATTATTATTATTATTATTATTATTATTATTATTATTGTTATTATTTTTTCTATTACTGTAATTTATGAAAAGTAATCATGAAATATAAAATAATTTATGTCGGAATGAAAATTTGAATAAATGAATAACTGTTGTTGATTATTCTAAAGATGGAAAATACATACGAAGTGTCCATTAACTTTCAATGAATATGAATAAATCTACAATGCTTTACTCTTGAGATCAAGCGATTGTTTCGCTCACTTGTATAACTTTATCCAGGGATCACTGGTCTTTGGCTCTAAGGATTTACTACACTTCGATAAATGGAACATGTTACAGTTTTATGTTTAAAAATATTATTTTACAGATTAAGTTTTTGCAAAGAAAACATTTTGAAACTTTCAACTGTTATTTTCACAGTATAAGTTAACTGTAAATTTAGTTAAACTTTTTTTAAAATTAACATAGTTCAATTTTGTGTTTACTAAAACAATACTGGAGAATATTTGAATTAGTAAAAAATTGATAGAATTATTTATCTACTTACTTTATACTTAATTTTTATAATCTAGGACGTTTGTTTGATATCTCTGTGATGAAATTTTTAATATTTTTTCCGATGATTTAATTATTAATTTCCCATTTATGTTACTTTGTAATTATTATCATCCATTACTTAAGTACCAGTAGAGTACTTGAAGTAAAACAGCAAAATAAAGTTTAATAAGCGACTAAAACTTTTTGATGAACGCAAAAGCTAATTGACAGTAATTCGAGCATAACTTACATATTTATAATATGTAAAATAGGGTACATGGCTAATAATTTGTGGTTTAGAGAAATTTAATTTTACAAGTTTCGATTCACCACATCTCTTGTCTCAAGAACTCGATTGTATTATGTTCATAAACAGCAACCTCAACTGGTCGTGACCAGGCTTTCGCCGTCAAGTATTTTAAGTGACCTAACATAGTGTTAGTTTGCTTCGGTCAATCGCCTTCCCGTCTTTATGTACATACACTCATTGAGGTATAATGTCCATACAAATATTGTTAATATGTAAATCATTCCGAGCACTTAATGTATACGATAAAGACCATTGACCGCAGTAAAGTAAATATATTTTTGTAATTTTGTATTTTAATTATCTAAATGGTCTGAGCCGCGAAATTTGTCACGACTGTAGAAGTAGATTCATTTTCATTCATATTTTTAATTATAAACTCTAATTTCATTGTAAAAAATACATTAAATACATAAATGGATTATTGAAAAATGCTGTTGAATATGTAGCTTAGCTTGTTCTTGTTCAAAGATTACATGGAAATTGTCGTCGACAGATTTAGGTACTTGGAGTTCACGGCAGACAATTAAAAATGTGTATAAATTTACTAGATTAACAAGTGAACTGTGTACGTAGTCTAAATTTTATTGAGGCACTTTACCAATTATTAACGGTATTTATATCATTATTTTTAATTATTATCATAAAGCAGCTAATTGATTGAATGTGTTATACTTAATATATTTTATACTTTTTTAAAGCATCTATTTAAATATAATTTTAATAATAATTATAAACTTCTAGATTTCGATTAATTTATAAACAATAAATGATTTCTACTCTGGTAAAATTTACTTCACTATATCATGTATGATCATGTTTTTATTATAATTGATTATTTATGAATGTGTGTTCTAATTACGACAGTATTTGAAATTTTTTGTAAAAATTCATGTAACTCCTAAATTGAATATTGAAATCACACCCACTTAACAATTGAGCTAATTTGAATTATGAACTGAAATAAACATGAATTTACTGATGATTTTGTAATGAACTGTAATCTAATAAAAGTGTTTTATAGTTGATCTTCTCCAGGTACAAAATAATATGTATAATTTATACATATTATAAATATATATATATATATGTATAACTATTATCATGCATTTAGTGAATTAGAAATACGTGATATAATAATGTAAAATCATTAAAAAATTGTGCGTTTGTAATTGCTATGAATACTACGCTACTTATTGTCATTATTGTTTAAACGAAAAAAAAATTTTAGCATGTTAATCAACTTATAATGATTATTCAAAAAATAATTATTGTCAATAATAAATATATTTTATTTATCAAAGTTAATGGATTCATCTCAAGTTGATATAACATAAATATTTCTATAAAATGCCGAAATGCTGGTGTATGTAAATACTATACATATTTTATAAATGACAGTGCATAGCGTGATGAGAAAATTTATGATGATGTATATGAAAAAAATGTTCTGTACACTCTACTAAATGGGTTAAATTTTAATAAATATTTCCCAATCCAACTTTGTATTTTTATTCAATGCTATTTCTTGTTTGTTACACTTTATTAATTGTTTTTACACTTAATAATCAGAATTTTCCTTTCCAATATGGGTTACAATCACTTGATAATTATATTACTTTATAATATTTTATGCATATAATAACGATGTAATGACATTTTATTCCTATAAAGAATATATTCAATTAAAACATTGATTCTGTCCTACTTTTCATCTATTTCTTATTTTATTCTTTTATGAATATTTTTATTTTTTATTAACATAAGAATAATTTAATACAACCATTACTATCATATACTCAAGATGTTTCTCATTATACATTATTCAACGTCATTTTTTATTGCATCCCATATTTATTATTAAAGCACAAATACTAGGATACTATTCTTATCAAAAGTATGCACATTATATGTATACATTTAGTAGTTCTAGTTTATTGGAAGACACGATTGGTTTCAATTATTACATTCATATTATAGATTCAAAGAAAGAAGAAAGTTTCTATAAATTTTACATCATCGAGCTTCAGTATATTTATTTGTTTCTTTATTTTATTTTGAATAAAATATAAAAATAGCATAACAATTTAGTTTTCCAATTATTTAATATCACATGTATCTATATTTACGATCGCCTTCTTAAATTAGCATTAATTGATTATACGAAAATGAATGGAAGTGATGACTACAATTAAATCATATATTTCGAATAGATAATTTTGAAATCAGTTCTCAATGAAATTAATGTTACTCGATCAGAGATAATAGATTAAAATTCCAATATATTAACATTATTTAATAAGTACTAGTACCAATGGATGTTCATACATTACATATGTAAAGATTTATTCGTATTTACATATAATGATAAGAAATGTATTTGTAATATAACATTTTTTAATGAAAATAACGATACAATAATTATATTTAAAATTGATATAAAAAATTATATTGCAAGATATTAAATTGTTCATTCTTTGGTAAGTTTTTTTAGCCTTGATAGGGTCTCATCTCCATACTTTTCTAATAATTCCTCAACAAATTGATCTTTTAACTTTTTAAGGCACCTATAACGTATTCATTCAATTAGAGAAAGGAATGTAGCAAATTTAGTAGAAAAAAATTTTACAAAATAATACCTGCGGTATAGAGGATTTGTACGGAATTTCCCAATATCTAAGCTTGGAGCATGAGGACGATGAATTATGAATACATTAGGCAGAACAATATATCTAAAAAGACAAATTGAAAGAATTACTTAAACGTTTAACTGAGAATGAAATTATCTGTAACTCAATTTTATTAACTTATAACCCAATGCTGTCAAATGAGTTATATATGATACTTTATTCCAACCAAATCCAATAAATCTTTCATCATACATAGGAGCAGATTTAGATACCACAATGTAGGGTTCGAAATCTGGTTCCCAAGATACTTCATATGGATCAACAGCAGTCTTCCAATAGCTAAAATTAGTTGCTGCATGACCTTTTGTCCATACATGATAACGAAAAGTATAAAGTACTCCGTAAGTTAAATACTTCAAAAGTTCATCTTTATTAGCAGGAAATGTGAACCTAAAATCATTAATAAATTTTTTACTTATTCAAATGGCTATTTGTGTTATAAGAATACGTTTGGAATAAAGTTATTTTTGCATATACATATATGAACATATATATAGTACCAAGTATAAATATTCTACGATGATAAAGGTATTTTTATCATACCCGCGCGGAAAATTCACTTTTTCATTAGAGAGAGATTGAACTTTCCACGAAGATATAACGAAAAATGATATTCAGCTCTAGAGAGGACAATTAGACTGGCTTAAACCACGTGTTTATCACCCTCGCCTTTGGCTCGGGTTGTAATTTTACGCGTGGTTTGAGATTGACTACTTTTCCTCCCTAGGTGTGAAATGTACTAATTTAATAGCTTACTATCGATTAATATGTTCGAAAGTTAGACATTAATATAGACATTCTTTGGAATAAGTACTAAGTTTAAATACCGTACAAGACCCAATGTGCAATATAGAGTTAATTAAACCAATTACCTATAACGTTGAGTTTCGAATGCTGGTATTATAAACGCTTTTTTTTCTAATTCTGATGTATTTGATTTGAGAATGTATGACATGAGTTTTTCATATAGATCAACAGGTGGTAGAAAATCGACGTCTAATTGAAATATATATGGGGTAGGGATCTGTGATATTGCTACATTACGTAAGTAATTAATTGGATAAAACTCCTATGAAACAAAATTTAAAATAATTTACTTTATAAACGAAATTGTACTATGATGAAAATTGTCAATTACTTACTCCGTCTTTGTAAACGATATGGTAAGCAATGTTCTTTCGATTCTTTAGAACATCTGATCCACTAATAAAATCTAAAAAGGATTGTACCTCAGCATCTGTTAGATAAACGGCAACGCTTATTGTTCCTGGCCAACGTTTGAATAATTCATCTAGTAAAATAATTCTATCAGCACTGCACTGAGTTACGAGGCCAATATCCTTTTCTAAATAATTATCATATTGATATTCACGAATAAAAAGATGAGTGCGATATGTAAGGGCTGCACTCTTTGTGAATTTCTGACAGCTATTTGGTTTATATATCTATAATGGAAAAGAACATGTTGAATTATTAGAGTAAAAAGAAAATGGTCATATATTTTGAGACGAAGGTAATTGGAAGAAAAATGCCTCTAAAAGAAGCAGTTATTCTAGAAAGTTACAAATAAATTATTTACTTCCTTCAGAAAACTTTTACTATTTGAGTGATAAAATATTAGCAAACATTATCAAAATTGACAAAATACTTTAACTCAAGACGTTTACTAAAAATAAAAAATTTTTCATATAAAATATGCTAAAAGATATTTTTATCAAATGTTTGATGAAAATCTCTGAGAAGTTGAAATGTTTCATTCATAATAATAATAACAAATCATAAAATACCATTAAAGCACTATTGGTCTTATCACATCTGAACAGCCGTTTCTGTAGTAAATTACCATTCATATCTAAAAAAACTCTGTGCATTTGATTGAAATCTCTTGCATGTTTATTCTTTACATCTTGTTTACGAGGTGAATTCCAGTGTAAAATCTGAAATAAATGTTAGCTTAGTGTTTAAATATTATTTTTCAATTTCTAAAATAGTAGTTGGTTTTTTGTACTCGTATTTGTTTAGCATCTTCATAACACTGGTCGCTAATCGTATGATCTCCCAGCTGTACATTCCAAGTACATTCCAGCGTGAAAATTATGGATGGATTATCTTTGATAACAGCATTGATGATATCTTGATCAGCTAAACTAGTTTCATAAAATTCTTTCAAATATTTGCGCGATGTATCTATCCATAAATCTGTGAATTTTCTATCACGAAGTAATTTTAAATTCATCAGCATTACTCCAGTATTGAACCCTCTACCAATAGCTGGCCAGGGACGTTGAATTTTTTCATTAACTTTTACATACCAATCACTTTGATTTTCTGTAAGTGCCAGTGTATGATTGTGACTGAATTTTTCAAAAATGTCCCATAGTTGAGATATGTCTGTTAATACTGTGATATCAGTATCAAATACTAAAACTTTATCTTCATGAATTATATCTGAAAGAGTTAATTTTAATAATCCATATACACCTGAGTAATGTTTATTTTTTATCCAGGCAACTTTTGGTACCCATATTTCTGCTGGATAAAATGAAACAAGCACTAAAAATAATTTTTAAAATTACTTTAAAATGTACATTATAAATTATCAAATACTCTTATTAAGGTTATATTCATCAACTTTCATTCATCCAAAATTCTAAAGTATACATGTGTGTCGTATATTAAATATTCAAGTGTCAAAATTTAATTAACTTTTTATACAAATAAAAATTTATTAAAATTACCTTGGGGTAAATTCCATGTTTCAAATAAAACCTTCAACGTTCTATTAGATACTTCATCAACAATAAAATGAAAATGTAGAGGATTAGATCGATAGAAAATAATTGATTTAACTACTGTAATTAATGAATTAGTGGAATTATATCCTGCACAAACCATGGCAATGTGGATTGTGTAGCATTTCTGTAGATTAGATGAAAAATTAATTACTAGAGAAATAAATCTTGATTAAAATGAAAAATAATTTACTTGATTGAAATCATAATGTTGATTAGATGTCTTGGGAAGAGCTGAGAAACTTAAAGATTCTAATTTATTATTTATGAATACTTTGGCATCTGAAAATTTGAGTTCAGTTACTGATGGAACTGAAATGTAAAAAATCTATTACTTTAAATGAAAAATATAATTATACAATTGTATATAAATTATTGATTACCATTGAAAAATGAATAAATAAAAATAATTGTTGTTATTACCACAGCAGCAAAGAAACACCTTAGCCATAATCTAGCCATGGCCATACGTCGAACATATTTATAAATACTTAAAATACCGTACGGACAAACGATCTAAAAAAATATTTATCATAAAAACTTGTACAAATCTTCAATTTACTTTATTCAATGTATGAAGATTAAAAATTGACAGTTTCATAAAAAATTACAGAAACTAAAAATATTCATGAAATAAATGTTTATGTTAACTTTTATTTAACATGATCAAAAATTGAACATTAATAAATTAAATATAAAATATTATTTTTAAAATATGGATTTAATAATAAATACACACCACTTTGGTAGAATACATCAAGTATCCATTATTTTATAATTTATTACAAAATTTTTTCATAAAACTATTCAATATATAAAAAGTGATTTAAAAAAAAAAGATATTCATTTTAAATAATGCAATTATTCAATTATAACTAGCTTTTTATATTAAAAACAGATATTTTCCACACAATTATTTACTTATTGGTCTTTATATACTACAGCTATCTAGTGGCAAATCGAGGATATTAGTATGTAGTAAATTTCACTTATGTAGCGCCAGTAATAATGGAATTGATTCATTTTTAAATGACATCATTAGTAATAAAGCAAAACATGATTGTTTCTACAAAAATATTTTCTTAATAGATATTTTTAATAATTATAAAAAATTAAAATAATAAGTCCTAAAAAAATTCATAATATATCCCTAATATTGTTGACCATTTACCTTATTATCTTATTAAATCTATACTTGGATTGCATTGATAAATGATAATCTGCAAAAAATGTCTCTAAGTAACAAATTATTCTACATTGCATCAACGAGCACTCGTTCATTAAACTTCATTAATTATTCAAGAACACTCACAGAAAATAATCATATAACATAAACAATTAATTTATTTCTGTTGCTTTACTAGAATGAGTTGTCATTTCTATATCATCTTCATCGATTTTTCTCATCCTTGTTAATTCTGTAGAATGAGATCTGAAAATTAAATATTGTTACATAAAAGTGTAAAATAAGCTCCCTAATTGGATGCGTTGATTAAATATAATACCTCATTTGTGCTTCCTCGGCTTCTCGCTGTTTTCTTTGACCCTGCAATGCTCTAAATGCCACACATATAATTACCATAAGAATAGGAATTAAACATCCAAGGATAATACCAGATGTAATACCAGCTTGTCGAGAACTATATTCTTGTTGACCTATGACACAAAACAAAAGGTAATACATCTAAACTACATGCATTGTGCCTAATTAATTAGAGGAATTGGAAATTTTAATACATTAATGAAAATTTCCATTCCACATTTATAAAAATTACAAAATCTATTTTATTTTCATGTTTCAAAATGATAAAATTGGAAAATATTTTCTATCTATTTCTCTGCTTGTGGAATAGAAATTTATCATTTTTCCTTATTTTGTTTAAAATGTTTTTTATTAAACATTTAAAAACTTACAATCACTCACAAATAATTACAAATATTATACTGTGTATAATTATATCAGTAAGTATAAAATCATAAAGTCTTATATTTTGTAATACAGTAACTTAAAATAAAATATTTCTATTCCACACAACATACAGAAATATTGATTATTCATATAAAAAGTCAAATCTTTTAAAACAATTTAACTTCTTTAATATGTTATAAAAGGTAACCAACGATTATTACTAATATTAAAATATTTCATTTGTAAATATATAAAACTTATAACTAATGAGTTAGATTTCCTTAAAAAAGTGAACCAGAAGGCTACACGTCACTTTCTTTACTAGGACTGGCAGTTTTTCTATCGGATGTCGAATCAGAACTACTAGGTTCTTTCAAATCCCATTCCTTATCCTCAAACTCAATATTTGGTCTGTTAGGTAAAGGTTCATGGGTATAATAAACTCCGTCATAAGTTCGTCGTTTCATTAAACTTCCACTGGTATTAATGCTTGAGTCACTACTGGGGGAAATAGCTCTGTCAAAAGCTTTTAAAGGTGTTGCTCGAAGTGATAAAGATGAATCATTATCAATTCCCGAACCACGTTCAGAAAAACGCCACGATTTCGTCGAGCTATCTTGTTTTTGATTCTTTCGAATGCAAACAAAAATTGCTGCGATAAGAGCGAGAGCAGGGATTAGGAATGCACTTATAATACCCATAGTTGTCCAGGCAGTACGTTGAGAATATTCAATTTGACCTAGATATTTGGTTTTTAATTATTAGTCAACAACTACTGATTGAGTCAATAGCAAAAATCGAAATCACAATATTCTTAAATGATTAAACTTCATAAAGGCGTTTCTTCGTATTAAATTAATGAATATCTCAAATTTTAGTAAATTAATATTGTCATTATAGAAATTAATAAACAGTTGAGAATAAAATTAATATCCTTAAAACTTTTCCTCTTTATTTTCGAGAAAAATAATAAAAAGAAAAAAATTTGTAAAATACTCACGAAGGCATTCAGTATATCCATATTCTGGAATATCCCATCGACCATCAGGCATGCAAGTGCGACGTTGATCTCCAATTAAAACAAAGTCTTGATTACATTCAAACGTTACTTTTGTACCAGGTACAAATAAAAAGTTACTCTTTCGTCCGAATCTTGGAGTTTCAAGAATACCACAAGATATAGCTGAAATCAATATTTTTAATTAATGTACAACGATTTTTTTATACATTTTATAATCTTTAATGAAGTATTAATTACTTACTTCTTTCAGAATTGATTGTTTTAATTTGAGTAAGAGTGTCGTAATAATTTTTTGTAAAATGTGCTAAATCGCGATTTAAAGTCATTGCATAGTCATATTGGCATTGATATGATTCTCCGCATAATTCGTGAGCTCGGGTAATATCAATAGAACTATAAATAAAGGAACATTAATTAGGAAAAAAATGACAAAATGAAAACATACATTATTTATAGTAATTTTAAGATTATACCGATTAAAGGAAATAAAATCTTCCGGCCGTCTTCGCCATTCAGGAGCAAATGTTTTATTAGCAAAATGACTAGCGGTTCTTCCGAATTCTCGTACAAACAAAGTGCCTCCTTTATATTGATCGCTTTTATCTTCCAGCATCCAGTTGATAGCGAAATCTTTATGAGCTGCTTCGAAATTATCAAGATTTCCAATTGGAACTTGACGTCCATCAGGTAATGTAAAGTCATCTAAAATATCATTACTCCAGTTTCCTAACAGACCTTTTGTCTTGTTCTAAAATCGATATTTATTATTGAAATTTCTTCAAAACTAAAATTTTAAAAAGAAATAACTTTTCATAAAAAACTGTACCATATAAGTCCATGGTAGATAAACCCTTGCAGACATGAACCCTTGATTTTCAACTACTTCAATGCCCGCACCAGTATCAAACATGATTATAACTTCACTTTGATTTAATATATACGTAGGAGTATAAACAACAACGCCAGGGAAGTGTTGAAATTTTAAAGATTGTCGATCGAAATAAACACGACGTTTATCCGCAAAAACATCCAAACGATATCTCCATTGAGCTATGGGTGGTCTTATCCGAACTTCTATTATTGCAGAATTATTTCCACGAGCTAAAAATATAAAAAAGTGATAAATATAGTACAAATATAAACACACTTTTAAGGAAAAGAACCTCTAAAATTATTTACCTACTACTGATGATAATTGAGTTCCACGAACTTCACCGTAAAAATTATTTCCAACTTGCTCAAACCGTCCTTGTATATCTAACTTGTCTTTTTCATCATCAACACGTACCAAAACAAATTCACCTTTGCCATTAAATGTATATGCTAAATTATCGAAAGTTACTATATGAGGATCTCCAAACACAGCTGCTACAGCTGGTGGTTGATATGCAATGCAATCTTGACTCGGTCTTCTCTCAAATCTTAAAGTTTCACAACCAACTGCTTGTTCCTCTTGCCATAAACAACAAGAGTACATTGGCACTACGTCATGATACCAATGTGAGAGAGTAGGAACTTTGTTAGCTTCATTCCATGGTAAGAATCCTAAATTGTGAGATCGATGAGGTTTCGAGCCCCATTGTTGATCATAAGTCAACATCAAATACCCATTTTTATCATAACAGCACTGTTGTTCAGATCCATCCAAGCTAATCAACATTTAAAAAATATGATATTTACCTATAAAACTTCTACTCAAAAAGATTATTAATAAAAAACAAAAAAAAATTACTTTGGTGCACCAGTTTTGACACAATGAACAGCGCCTTGATTATAATAACAGTCAGGGTTAGAATCCTTATCACAATCATAGTCTGGTAAAAATCGTCCTTTGTCATAAAATGCATGTTCCATTTTGCAAGGACATAATGCAACTTCTGCAGCAAAATTTTTTAAATATCGATCATTCATAATCCATCGATCACACATTTTTTGAGGCCATTTATTTCCATATAACCTTTCCCACTGTGGACCAAAATACCAAGCGAGAGGAATCGGTTTACTCCACAGAACACTAGAATATATCATAGTTATTCGTGATATGAATGACAATTCACTACATAAAATTAGCTTAAAATAAACTTACGGAGTAATTTCTAAACCGGAATATTCAGTGGGAGTAGTTAAATTAATTTGTATGAATCCGAATTGCATATCGATATGATATGGATTTTCTCGATTTCTATAAGAGGCTGGCACGATGGTATATTCTCCATTATTAATGACACCTCTCTAAAATATTCAAATTTAATTACTTATTTAGTATATTAGTAGATTAACTTTTTCAAAAACTGAAAACTTCTTAATGAATTAATTGACTGTCACAAACTTGGTATAATTCAATAGGTTGATAACACTCAAATAGTTGAGGAATACATTTTAAAATTTTAAAAGATCAAATTACCAACCTCAAGTAAATCGATATATTCAAATTCAGGTCGGATAGTCGTCTCGCGATACCCCCAAATTGATATCTGAACTTCAGCATTCAAGTTACTGGTTAGATTATATGCATCCCAGGTGATTTTGATCTCTCGAGGATCGCGTTCATGAACTGCTCTAGTTGAGAAGAATATTTTCTCTGTTGCGGTAGCAGGAGTTTCTATCGTCAATAAGAATTAATTATAAACAAAATCAATTTTCCAGAAATCAATAACATAGTATATAAATATTTCTTCAATAAGATATTTCCTTCTAGGTGTAATTTACCAATAAAGTATTTTCCTTTCCAATCATATCTGCCACTATTAATAGCCACCGCAAATCGAATATAACCTTCAGCTTTAACGAATGGTTGTACACAGATAGCCCGATTTCTATCTATCACCGTACCAACAACCTCTTCAGTATCAAATCGACATCGTATTTTATCGGTTTTCTCAAAACATGGTCCAGTGATATTTACAACTGTTCCTCCAAGCATATTTCCACTTTCGGGTGCAAAAACGAGTGGGAGATTAGCACCAGCTGTCAATTTTATTATCATTTATAAATAAAATCACATTGGCATAATTATTTAGAATATTTGCAAATGCTTACCGATATCCTTATTACAAGTACCAAGCATGATTTTTTCATCAATTCTAAATATATGTCGTCCTCTAAATCCATTAGCCCATCCACGACTGGTTAAATCTCTCAAAGTTGATGCTTGGGAATAGGGAGAATATTCGTAGCTTCGTGTTCCATTTCCAGCATTAAATCCAATCTAAAAATAATTTCAGATAGAAGCTATTGCTCTATTGTATTAAAAACAGTAAATAACTTACATAAGCTGGAACTCCACCTTCACCACCAGTGGTATCACCACCAGCTTCAGTATGACTACTCCACTGTAAATCCAAGTAATTGAATATTGCATATGTGTAAACTTCATCGGTGGCCAATACTAGTTGGAAAGTGTTGGTTTTGAACAAAGAATTATCGATACCACCAGCAAATGACATATTTTTCCATGTTACAATAACTGCATGCTTCGGATCAAAAGAATCTGAACCCACAACTCCTTCTCTGATATCCCACTTCACTCGTTCTCTCATTTCTACGCCAAATTGGTCAGTTCTTTTTTGCAAATCCCTTTCTTGTCTGTAAATTGAATTTACAAAAACAAATTAATCAATATTTCTATGCATATGTGTGAATGAAGAATATAATTGAAAAATTCAGTGTTGGTACCTGAAGTAGATACCCGGTTTACGTTGATCGTTATCAGTGGGTCTAAGTTTACCAATTCGGCATTTACTAAAAAAGATACCGATAAAAGCAGGATCATTTTTCTTCGGCCAATCTTTGACAGGAAAAACTAATGGATATGTGTAATATTCTGGTGGATCACTGAATTCCAAATAACCGTTCATAGAAATCTAAAAAATAGGTTTTACGATATGAAACTTTTTTACTGATATAGAAATGTGAAATTGTAAATAATGTAATACATTAATTCATTTTATAGTGTTGAAAACTTTTATGCCCAATCAAATGAGATTATAAAAAGCAAAAATTTCAACGATGAATCGTTACAATTGGTCGTAATTTATATAGTTCCTTGCACAAAAATAGTTTTTATGTTAAACGACCTTTGTAATTACGTTAAGTTTCTTAAATTACTACCCCATAACTTACTCGAGTATAATTATAGCGGAAGCCAAAAAATGGTAGTTGGAAATTAAAATTTTTATGGATCTGGGGCATTGAAGAGTGTACATCGGTTTGGTAGTCACCCATATTATTATCACCACCCTTGTCAAAATACCAATACATCATTTCTGATCGAATTTTGCGCCATCGGTCTTCTGGTATCACATAATCACCAATGGTAAATTCCGGTGATGGAGCATATCTATTTGCTTCAGGATCTTCTGAATCTATAATAAAAGTATTATTCATATATTAATTTTGTTAATTTTATTTATTCAAAAAATTCATTTATTAAGCAAATGAATAAATATAATTTATTATGATAATTAAAGATCTTGTTTGTAAGGGATTATATATTTGAAGGTTTAAAAATAAAGATATAAATAAATTGTGCTGAATTATAAATAATTTAGTAGAAAATTTAATAATCCGGTGATTCATTGTCGATTTATGTTTGAGTGAGTAACTGATAACAATAGATAACAAAGAAGTAATCAAAATTGTCGTGAATTGTATCAAAAAATCTTAGTATAATCAACACATGCTAGTAATATTGGTGTACTTAATATTACTCATTCATCTAACTAATCATTGCTGGCTTATGAATAAATAGTTTTTTCTTGTTAAAAAAGAATCACTGAAATAAAAACTAAGAGAATCTCCCGTTAAGTAAAGATAAATGGAGGGTTACGCCCATTGATAACAAGTTACTCACCATAACGAACGTATTTTTCACTTTTCATAATGTTGCTCCCATTTAGAAGACTTTTTGCTATTTCTACTTGATCGTGATGTTCTCCATTTACATCTTCAACTTCCACTTCAGGATTAAGAAATTCTTCATTTTCATTTTTATTATCAGAATAATTTTCCTTTACAGTTTCATCATCTCCAACGATCTCTAATATTCTAGGCTTTATTACTACATCTTCATCATTTTCAATAGGTGCTTCAGGAGCTACAGACCAATCATCAGATAATTTTTCATGATCAATTGATGCTAATAACGGTAAACTAGAATTATTACACACTACAGATCCATTATTTATTTGTGAATATGCAAAATTTACACAAAAAACACTAATAACAATGGCTATATTCAATGATTGTGATAATAAGTCTTTCTTATTTTCTCGCATTTTTAAGACGAGAAAATGACCGGTAATGATAGACTGTGATTCTACACTAAGACCAAACTCGTGAGCAGGTACAACTACAGGTGATATCACTGAAGATATCATCGTGCTATCCCGTGATAAAGTCTACGCTTATCTTCCTATCTTCAAACATCCCTAGTATGAGTTACATTCAAAGATATAGATAGACCCTTCGGCCCCATTTCCTGTAAGAAACTTGTTATGAGTGAAAAACTATAAAGATAATACTTTTAACACCGAATACACTTCAAAAACTAATGAAAGAATAACACCGAAAACTGTGATTTATTTTTTCACTTTTTTATCATAATAGTTCAATTTTTATTTAAATATTGGTTTTCATATATGTAGTTTTATTATAATAATTATGCTATAATAGACGATAAATATAATAGAAAATTGATAAGAAAATAGTCTTACATGATTAATTTGTCAAAGTACCAAATGAGATGATTTATTTTCATCATAAATGCTTTCATACGATTGAAATCAACTACAGTATTGTATTTATGATAAAAGTGCTCTAATGAAATAAATATCAGACAAAAGGAAGCTTACATATTATCTAATAAGTGTAATACGATTGGAAGTGTAAATTAAAATAATATAACTAATTTATTGAATTTTTAATAATTTTTCAAACATTAATTAGAAACAAAATGTCAGTTGATGTACTTTTTTGAATTATTCATTTACAAAATTCGAATATAAATACAAATGAAAAATGTTTATAATTGTTTGAAAAAAATTATGAATTTTTTTGTTTTATGTATTTACTTTGATATAATCAATATAATCATCTGAATATTTTTTGATAAAGAAAAATTATGAGAAAAAAAAAGTCGAAGTCTTCGTTCATAAAATAAAAGAACACATCCATGATTGCATTGTGTTGAATGTTTGTAAACTCTTTAAGAAGATGAAGAGTTATCTCCATTACTATCTAGGTATCCTCCAGATCCATTCACAACAAACGATGTACCCAGACCATACAAATGACCACAATATTTTGCATCATCAATATTATCCTCGAAAAACATCTAAAATAACGCATGGTAAGTAATAGCTTCTAATATATATATATATATATATATAATAATTCAATTATGTTTTTAAAAAATGTATTATCTCAATTAAATTCTCATCTTTTGAATAAACTTATCATTTGTAACTGCACTGTTAGAATAATATATAAAAACAGAATGTTTACGAACCTCGCGCATTTTAAAGAAAACCATTCCTGTTAGAAGTGAATCGGAACCTGCTTGATGCTGTGGTCCAACTCGCTGTAATTCTAATTGTTCTGCGACTTCTTGTAATCCACCTTTCAAATTCTTACAGGACTTCATTAAGTACTGATAAAAAGCATCATTTTAATATTATGTTTATTTATGGAAAAAATGTTTACATTTGAATACTTACTTTTACATCATAAATCGTTGGAAAATATATCCTTAGAAGCTCAAAAAACTCGCTTTCTTCTTGAGGTAAATTTTGATCGGTGAGGAGTTTTAATAAATACCCAAAGTCATAACCCGAATGAAATGATAGCCATTTGATGTCATCCATCAATACAATTCCAGATGTCATGAGTAATTCTGCAAAATCCAATGGATCGATACCTTCTTCTTCGTGTTTTTTAAATTGAATACCACTATTTTGTAACATGTCTATGCTGTCCTGTGCGTACATATCTTCTCTAAAATTCAATGAATATAAAATTTGAGAATTTATAGACCAAATTTATGTAAATACTAGTATTAAAAAACCATCTTACTGCAAATTAAATTTAAAGTTGAATTGCCAAGTAGTAAAACCACCTCCTGGAGTATTACCCGACTCATCGAGAAATGTAAGTCCCAACTGAATGATTCGTAAAAGGTCTACATTACAACGTAACAATTGATATTGATAGTCTGCACTAGTTCTAAATTCGCCTAAAAATCATAAATAATACTTGATGGTTTAAAAGATTTCAGTTTAATGAACTGGAAGGGTAAGAAATTAAATACCTATGGGTCTTGCAACAACCCCCGGGAACTCTGTGTCCATCGCGATGTACTGGTATTGTTGTACAACTTGTCGAATCGTACGAAATTCATCTTCAAGATTGTGAGCCCAAACATCACGAATTCCACATTCTTCATTAGTGGGCATAGTACCCCCACCCTTTACTGCGGGATTCACTCCACCTGTATTGAAAAAATAATTAATAAAATGACATAATTTAAAGAATATTCATTAAAAATTACTGTGAAACTGAAATCCTTTAAGGCTTCCTTTGCCTTACCGCTTGTACTTTTCCTGACCATTTGAAGTTGATGTATGTTGCTATAGAATAAGATTGTGAGTCATATTATTTTATCTACGCACTTCGTTAATTTGGACTATAAGAATAAATGAAAAAGAAAAACAATTAATGTACAGGGATTGAGAATTTTAATTGAATAACACTAAAAGCAAAATTGTTACTATTTTCAATTCACAAATCAAAGTAATTTCAACAATCTAGAATAAATGTATTTAACTTTTTCATAATGTTTATTTATAACTACTTGTTCTAATCAGACTATTTGAAAAGTAATAATCATAATATTATTGAATTGAAAATCGAATTTTCATCATTGTATCACCGTCAGTATTTCCCCGCCAAAATTTTCACTTATTAGCACAGAAGAGGTTAAGACTATTAACTTGCTTATTATGTTTATAATTTATTGTTTAATTATTTAATTTCATTCTAGATTATTCTAAAATTACTTATTCTTAGATTAAAACATAATCTTATTTCATTTTTAGCAAGCAAACAATAAACAAGTACTTCTATTTTTCAATAATAAAGTAGAAAAAATCAATTGCGATTAATGATTGTTAAACAGATATTGTAAATAAAAAAACCTTTAAAAATTATATTTTCAAAAATATTTACCCTCATCAGAGGTTAATTTTAGTCATTCTTTACACAAAACACACATATACTATGCTCTCTCTAGTGACTAGAAATATGTATTGCTCATTTTAGTTTTGCTATCAGTTTTACCAAAGCAAAGAAAAATCAATAATGGAAGAATATTTTCTCTGAATGATACCAACAGAATGAGAACATTACGGTACTGCCATCTGAGATCGGTAATCTAAATGAGAAAAATTTTTGCGCAAAATTTAAAATACTTTAGAAAATAATTATTCAGAGAAATTATTTTAGCTCATACTTATGATAAAAAAAATATTATTCTAATTATAAAATGCTGAATTTCTAAATAAAAAATATAATTATTTGCATTAGAACTTTGCTCAGTAGTAATTGAAATTGAGAAAAAGCGATGGTTTATTTGAGAACATGAAACAGATTATTCATTAAAAAATTATCAATTTATTAAAACACATAAGACAATTTTCCAATCTGAGATAGTAATACTTTATAGCACATTTCTAGACTAGTTACTTAAAAACTCACGGTATTACTTATTTCAGTGTAATTTTCATTATGTTACAATATTTATAGGAGTTTTTTATAGCAAATCCAATCTAAAACGATCTTTAATCTACATAAAAAGTTGATAAAATTTATATAAATATCTAATAATAAAAAGAAGAAAATATATGTACAGCTAGCATAGAAAAATTTTGAATAATAATTACCACTCTTCTAAAATTGAATTCAAAGTATACTTTGTGCTAACATAGAAATTAATTTCATGAATAAAAACATCATTTAAAGTTAATAAAATAGATAAGTTAAAAATTAAAGCATTTGCTTAAGTATAATATGTGTACGACGACGGGCATAAATCTCATTACTGAATGGATCCAGAAGGTCCTGGTATTTGGTTACTCTTGGCTTATGTGGTTTACGGATTTCTCGTGGTACTTCATTTGGACTTATTGAATTATAAATTAATTGAAATTTGTATGGGTCGACTTCTGGTGTTTTGAGTCTTCTTGCTCGGCCTGGGTTTATTTCTTCATCTTTGAGTGCTCTTGGTTTTCTAAGGTCAGATTCTTCACAGTTAGTTCCTTTTGATTTTCCTGAGTTCGAATTTCGATTTTGGACTGGTTTCGATTTTCCTGAGTTCAAATCATGATTTTGAACTGGTTTGGAGCTTCTTGAGTTTATATTTTGATTTTGGACTGGTTTCGATTTTCCTGAGTTCAAATCGTGATTTTGAACTGGTTTGGAGCTTCTTGAGTTTATATTTTGATTTTGAACTGGTTGTGATTTTTCTGAGTTTAAATCTTGATTTTGGGCTTGTTGTCTTTTTTTTACGCTAAAATAATGGGCTACTGGTTTCAGTTCAGCTAAGTCCACAACATGATAGTGAACTGCAGGTTGTGCTTCCTCTAAATTCATATCTTGATGTTGGGCTGTTGATTTTGATTTGCCCGAGGTTACATATTGACATTGAGCTGGTAGTCTTGATTTTCCTGAATTTATGTCTTTATTTTGAGCTGCTCTCGATTTGCCAGAGTTCACATCTTGATATTGGGCCTGTGGTTTTGACGTGACGAAGTTCACATTTTGATATTGGGCCTGTGGTTTTGACGTGCCGAAGTTCACATCTTGATATTGGGCCTGTGGTTTTGACATGACGAAGTTCACATTTTGATATTGGGCCTGTGGTTTTGACGTGCCGTAGTTCACATCTTGATATTGGGCCTGTGGTTTTGACGTGTCGAAGTTTACATCTTGATATTGGTCAAAATCGTGATAGTTATTTCCTCTAAATCTAAGTGAGTCATAATCTCGATATCTGAGGTCTCCTGATTTGCATCTAATTGGACTGATTGACGGAGATTTATAGAAAGACCTTGCTGATGACCTTCCAGATGACCATCCTGATGATCTTCCTGAATGTATACTTCTATAATATACACTTAAGAGCGTACTTGATCTTGGCAAGTGAGGGAGTTTCTTTGGAATAGAAATCCAACCATCAATATCGGCTTCTTCTTGATATCTTGTTTGATCAATGTTAACGTTGGCTTCCAAACTCCAGTCACATTCAGGAGAACATGAAATGCTAGAGATTAGGTCTTCACCATCAGAATTTTTTAAAGATATTGATCCTGACATAACTCCAGATGATGTTGATAATACTTCACATTCACTTCCAAGTTCGTCATCTTCAAAGTCATCAACGGGGTTGTTGTTATTGTTAGAAGCAGCAGAACTACTACTACTGCTACTACTGCTACTACTGCTACTACTGCTACTAATAACTATGGAATTATTTTCATCGTCTGCGTTGCTGTGTTCCAGTACTTGAACCAATTTTTTGACAAAGCGCCTTGAACTTCGAGGGATACCAGTTTCACGTGTTCGCATTTGACATTTTTTCTTCAATTCTTCAACAATATCCTCAACAAGACTAGTATCGCAGTTCAGATTACATTCAGACCAATTCACATCTTTTGTTTCTTCATGCCTTACTTCTGTATATGATAGAATAGGTGATTTCGCTTTAGATTGGTTCTTTTCTTTTAATTCTATTTGTCGCGAAATAGGTGACTTACTTTCAATTTTTTTTAATTCTCTTTCTTGTTGTTTTAATTTTAGCTGTCGTACAACAGATGAGTGTTTTTGAAACAAATTTTCTGTAAATTCGTATTGCTGCATTATCATAAACCTCATAGCGGGTGAAATTTCTTCGAATTTTTTGACTTCTTCTTTTTCTTCTTTCAATTCTGTCGGCGGTAGTGTAAATAATTTTTTTTCGGATCTTTTAATTTCTTTTTGTTCTTCTTTCAATTCTGTCGGTGGTAGTGTAAATAATTTTTTTTCGGATCTTTTAATTTCTTTTTGTTCTTCTTTTAATTCTGTCGGTGGTAGTGTAAATAATTTTCTTTCGGATCTTATAACTTCTTTTTTTTCTTCTTTCAATTCTGTCGGCGGTAGTGTAAATAATTTTCTGTCGGATCTTTTAATTTCTTTTTGTTCTTCTTTTAATTCTGTCGGTGGTAGTGTAAATAATTTTCTGTCGGATCTTTTAATTTCGCTCTTTGTTCTTCTAATTTTGGCTGACGTAAAACAGGTGATTTGTTTTCTGGTCTTTTTATTTCTTCTACCTCTTTTTTCAGTTTTGTTTGTCGTAACATAGGTATGATTGGTGATTCTCCTTGAAATAGTTCTGTTTCTAACTCTTGTTGTTTTATTTTTATTTTCTGAACCGTAAACATTTTCTGGGATCTATTAACTTCATTTTTTTGTTCTTTTAATTCTGTCTGTGGTGGGACAGGTGACATCCATTCGGATTTATGTACGTCTTTCTCTTGTTCTTTGAACATTGGCTGTCGTAGAATGGATGATTTTTCTTTGGATTTTTTTGCTTCTTCTTCCATTTCTTTTTGTAGTAGAATAGGTGATTTTCCTTTAGTTTTCGTAAAAGTTTCTGATAAAATTTCAAGTGGAGGAGGTGGTGGTGGATGATCAGGCGGATCTTCATAGTTTTCATTAATAGTTTTCAAAAGACTTGGAGATTTAAATGTGAATGGACTGCTAAGATATGATAACCTTCCAAAATTGTCGATGAAGGTTCTTGATACAGGTATTGGTGTAACGTTGAGGTCTACTGAATCTTCTTGATCAAATGAAGATTGTTCATGATTAGCTTCCTTTTTTGAGTTTTGATTAGTCAATGGCGAATTATCTTCAGATATCGAAAGATTCACACCTGACGCATAAGGATTCAGATTTTTAACAGGACTATTATTAACACTTGTATTATCGCTAGTTGTAGTGCTATTAGAATTATTGTTGCTAGTTGTTGGGGTACTAGTTGTAGTACCAGTGGTTGTAGTAGTGTTACTGGTTGTAGTATTATTACTGGTTTTAGTAGTGTTACTGGTTGTAGTATTACTACTGGTTGTAGTACTGTTACTGGTTGTAGTAGAAGAAGTTTTATTTTGTCGATGAAGTTTGTCTCGTTTAACGAAGATGTTATCAGCAACTTTAGGAGATATTAATGGAAGATCCAATAGAGCTGGTTTCAAACTAGCTCTCTTTTTTAAGACGTCTGAAATTGATATGTCAAGTGATGGATCAAGCTTTTCATCTGGAGCTAATTCCTTTGCAGGGAAAACCAAGTTGATGTGCTTGATTTTTCTCGATGGCGATATTTTCGGGAATGATTTGCTTATATAACTTGATTTTCTTAGCTTACTAATTTTATTATTATTTGATTCTTGTTTCTTATTTGGTGATATTTTCGTCCATACTGAAACGGTATTGTTGAAATTCTTGGGCGGTACAGCTTTAGATGAAGTTACACCACCATATGACGAATTCATTGGTTTACCACCATTTTTTGGCGAATCTGAAATCAGAATTATTCATTAATATTCTGTATAATACGATGGAGTAAAATCGAGCAGTAATTTATAATGGAAAATTTATTTATGAATTATAAAAACGAATTACTTAAACTCACCATAATATTTCTGAAGAATACGCGAAGCATTTGTGTTTTGTTGTTTGCTATTTTCACTTTTCCAAGGAGCAGGACGTAATTCAATGGGTGTAGTATTCATTAAAATTTTTGGTGGCTTCGATGAACTGTTTAAGTACCACTCGGGAATTGATAATTTTTCTAAGCATCGCTGAACTTTTATTTCGGCTTCACTCATCTTTTTTCTTGCTAATTTGTCCTGCAAACAGACATCAATGGAATCAGTAAATATGCATAAATTTACCGTCAAAACGGTTAATTGTTAATATAATTTAAAACATCTGTAAATTCAAAGAAAGAAAAATCACAATATTCGGATTCTTACAATCTTAAATAAAAAATTTTTAAAATAGAGACCCAAATACTCTCAAGACTCTCAAATAATTATATCAATAATTATAAAAAAAGCGCACAAACTCACAATAAAAACTCTAATTGTGCACTCATAAAATTATAATTATTTTCTTTAATTCCAAAAATGGAATTAAATTTAAAATTTAAATAAATTAAAAAAATCAAAGAATAAAATTGAATTACCTTTGGACTGTCTCGGAAGATAGGAAGCATATTACTTTTAATCCAAATTGACGGAAAATCCATTTTTAATTCACTTCACATGTATTTTTATCACAACGACTGAAGTCTAATTAAATGTTTTTATAATAAGGGACACAATACACTCATATCATTTATTCAAAACTCCAAAATAAAAATAAAGTATCAGTAGTGGACTCTTCTTGCACAAACAAACACTTATAAATGGATATATAATCAGTCTCGGTTGGATGCGTGAAGCAAACTGAGCTTGAAGAAACATTGAAGCGACTCGTAATTTGCAGGGGTAGAGCTAAAAGAGGGAGAAATATTGAAAAATGCAGCCAATAGCATGCGCCAATTTAATCCTCTTGTCTTACTAAGGTCATTTGGATGCCCAAAATTTCCCAACTACCTGATTACTACGGCTACCTCCATCTATTTTCTACTGAGTAATGAATTGCAGGGAGTCGTTTTGGGTCTTAGTGAAACAAATTCCTTGGTCAAATAAAATTTACAGTTTCAATGGAAGATTTTCATGGACAGTGAAGGATCAAGGGATTTAAGTGTCGCCAAAAAGTCATAAAATGTCTAGTGATTGATTTGTTCTGTTTTGAACTTAGGCTCCAAAAGACAAACGTCGCATTTACAACACTTGAGAAAATTTAATGTGAAAGTTTCTTTCATATAATATATTTAAGTTCAAACAACTAATTATGTTTAATTTTTTTCATCTACACTTGATGATTAGTTTAACTTTGTAATTAACTAAAAAGTATTTCTAATCTTCACATTTGACCATTTTTAGAATGTTAAAAATGATCGTAATAAAATTCAATAATAGTCTGTCATTACTGATGTTCTCTAAAAAGATCTAATCTTAATGAGGCCACTTTAATGCCAATTTACTAAAGAACAGTTCGCATCTCTACTAATTGGAAAAAAAAAGCATACAATAAAAAATATTTTGTGTCATTTAGATGACGTGCAATTGCGTCTAATTTGTTTAAGATGACTGAAGAGTACATTAATAGTCTTCTCAGAACCTTACCTTTAATGCCACAATACTTAACTTCCTAACCGGCATGTTTTGACTTCCTAACGATCGGTCATATATATAAATAGATAATGAACATTGAATGAAAGCAGGTATAAATCTATGCTCAGCAAGCTATTTACGAGCAATTCATCAACTAAATGTGAAAATAATTATAATTACATTAGTTCAAAGGTACATCTTACTGAACCAAATCTTTAACAAAATAAACAATTATTTCGTTTATAAATCCCATATTAAAATTTATTTATTCTATATAATAGATTATTGACAATATGACCGAATAAAAACAAAACCATCATTTTCGGTAGGAATAATAATTTAAACAAGTTGGTGAAGGTAGAAGGAGAACGTGAAAGGCTTGAACTCCTCAACAGGCTTCTTTTCACTCAAGTAGTATTCATTTCACAGTATCAAGTGGATTTATGATAGTAAAACATGTTGATGCTGAAGCTGGATGCTAAGTGTTAACATTTTTTGTACTTAAAGGATAAATATTTGTGTAATAAATCTAAGAGTAATAAGTAAGTGTTCATTTGTATGGATAGAAATAATGTCTTTATTAAAACGGAGAACGACTTAAGAAATTATGCTTTGTATTATTTTAATTTGTTTAATTATTTGTGAGAGTAAAAACGAGAGCAGCACATCTGGCTTAATAAGTCTTCACGATCAACAATGAAGTGATGACTGCAATAAAGTATACATTCTACATTGTTAATTTTCCAGAACTTAGTCTAATAACGGGAAATTTTCAAACAGCTTTCGTATTCATAGAACCGAGACTTTCCGCCTTTTTCATTACTTTATTTGTTTATTAAATGTGATCATATTGACTGTTTATTGCAAAAACCATCTATATATAATAATTTAGGATTTTTTTTTTATTTATTCATCTGTTTGTGCAAATTTTTTATAAAGTAGAATAAAAGATGGACTTGAAAATAAACGGTGTCAGTCATAACAGAGGTGAAAGTTACTACTAGATACTTTTAAACACGGTCAAGAACGCGAATGTGACTGGCGTGAATTTTTAATATTCATTCATGTTTAAAAAAATATTTTAACAAACTGTGAGTGATAAACAGATCATATAGTAATATATTAACTAATATAAATTTCTCTTATAATACTAGTTTGAACAATATGAATTAATATGTGAGTAAAAAAGATGATCAAATTATAAAGAATACCTGGTTCATGGAAAAAGCATAAACTCCAAAAAAGTAATTCTTGACCTGATTGTAAATATTAGCAATATAATGTCCACCAGTATAAAATAAACAAATTCTATGACTGTATTTTGTTACGGACATTAACGTTTTAAAATGTCTATTATAAATCATTGTCTATCCAATAATTTAATACTTCTATCATTTTCTTTACTCTTCAATTATTCTTATTGTATTAAATTGATACCCTTTTGCTATTATATGCTAAAAAAAATCATCTGTTCATAAGTCAATGGCCCTGAAGTCAGAAAATATTTAATACTAAATATGAAAATATACATAAATATTTTTTTCTACGAATATAATACATGAATTGAAGATTTACGATGGCTAATTCCGTATTAGAAAATTTGAACTTAAAGCAGCATCACTAAAAAATATTTGATCTTTTTTGTGGTCCGAAGAATTTTTAGTGATGAAAATAAAATTTTACATTTCAGCTATATGCAAACTCGAGATGGCTATTTTGACAGTACGGTCACTTTCAATTTTTAGTAAGTTTCAAAAGGTCGCCCGGTCCATAAGCAATCAAACAATAACTACGTCGAAGGAATATTGTCAAGAAGAATTACAGGCAGCGACTGCGAAACCTTACGAAGAAGTACCTGGACCTAAGCCATTGCCTATATTAGGTAACACCTGGCGCATGTTCCCTGTTATTGGACAATTTGAGATTGGCGACGTTGCAAAAATTTCACAAATATTCTATGATGAATATGGAGAAATTACTCGCTTATCTGGTCTCATAGGACGACCAGATCTTTTATTTGTCTATGATGTGAATGAGATAGAGCGATTGTATAGACAAGAAGGCCCGACACCTTTCCGGCCATCCATGCCATGTCTCGTGCGCTACAAAAGCATTGTCAGAAAAGATTTCTTTGGAGAATTAGGAGGTGTGGTAGGCGTGTAAGTAATAGTATGAAAACATATTCATAATATATTATATAATCAATAGTCACATAAGTACCCTTCAAAGGATCATTTTCAACAACTTGCATAATATTTTCAGCCATGGAGAACCATGGAAAGAATTTCGTACACGTGTTCAAAAGCCTATCCTTCAACCACAGACAGTTAGAAAATATATTAATCCTATTGAAACAGTTACGAATGATTTTATTACCAGGTAAGAGACTAATAATCTTCATGAACATGAGGATTATGCACTTGCTCAAGAAGATTTATAATTTAAAACACTTTATTTTTGTTTATTTTTAGGATCGAAAAGATAAAAGACAGTAAAGATGAATTACCAACAGATTTTGATAATGAAATCCATAAATGGGCCCTGGAATGTAAATATTTTATATCTCTGAAATACTAATGAATCCTTCGAGACAGAAAATATAACTAAAATATGTCTGTCAATATCTGATAGGTATCGGACGTGTGGCACTTGATGTACGACTTGGATGCTTGGAAGACAACTTATCACATGACTCAGAGCCGCAAAAAATAATAAATGCAGCAAAATTTGCATTAAGAAATGTTGCAGAGTTAGAATTGAAGGCACCTTATTGGAGATACATTCCTACACGATTATGGTCACGTTATGTGAAAAATATGGACTTCTTTATTGAGTAAGTAAAAATGAAATGATGAAGAAATTTATTAATCTTATTAATTAAAAATATTTGTGGAATAATTTTCTAACTCAATTAAAATTTTCTCCTTTCATCCTTCTTTAATTCAACTAGAGTTTGCATGAAATACATTGATGCAGCATTGGAGCGCTTGAAAAATAAAAAATCAACCAATGACAGTGATTTATCTCTTGTTGAAAGAATCTTAGCTAACGAAAAGGATCCTAAGATAGCATATATTCTTGCTCTTGATCTTATTTTAGTTGGAATTGATACAATTTCGATGGCTGTATGTTCAATACTTTATCAATTAGCTACAAGGCCAGAGGAGCAAGAAAAAATTCATAATGAATTAAAAAACATTCTTCCTGACCCATCAATACAACTGACTCCGCAACATCTAGATCAAGCTGTTTACACCAAAGCATTTGTTCGTGAAGTATTCAGGTATAGACGATATTTCTTAGAATTTTTAATGTCCTTTAATAATTATAATGATTCATTACAGGGTTTACTCAACCGTCATTGGAAATGGACGTACTCTACAAAATGATACTATCATTTGTGGATATCATATACCTAAAGGAGTAAGTCTATACTAAAATCTTCTAAGAAATTACATTTTCTTTAACTCTTTTTATGTTAATGGAGTCAATGGAAAAAATAATAAAATGAATGGATTCACAGGTTCAAGTAGTATTTCCAACAATTGTAACAGGAAAGTTAGAAAAATGGGTCGAAAACGCAGACGTATTTATGCCGGAAAGATGGCTAAAAGAAAATGAGCATAAAAAGCTTCATCCTTTCGCATCGCTTCCTTACGGGTACGGAGCACGCATGTGTTTAGGTCGAAGGTTTGCTGATCTAGAAATTCAAGTTTTACTAGCTAAGGTATGGTGATCAATTGTATATTATAAATTCAATTTCAAAAAAAAATGACGTATAAATAATAAAATTGATTTTTTTTTCATTTCAGTTGATAAGAAATTATAAATTAGAATACCACTATGATCCACTAAAATACAAAGTTACGTTCATGTATGCTCCAGACGGAGACCTGAAGTTTAAAGTAATTAAAAGATAATTCAATTAAATACATTTACATTTAATAAATTGTAAATACTATTCATTAAACTGTACTTACGAATAGAAATAAATTTTTCTGTACAAATTCATATACATATAATGATCTTGAATTTTTTACTCCAAAATTAATTTCATCGCTCAATAAACCTCAGCCTCAGAGGACCCTTTGGGGTATAAAGTGGGTTTATGTGATACTCCATTTTTCCATACCTGTAATCTACTCGGAATTTCTGAATAATCTGTAAATAAAAAAAAATTTTACTTTATTTCCATGGATAATTAAACATGTAATTTCTGACACAGTTTCATGAGTAAAATTATGTTCACTGAACACTCTAAAAGTTAAAAAAAAGTACTAGACCATAAAATAATGTTTCAGAGTTTGCACACGCTATTGCGCTAACGGAAATGGTTATTGTATTTAACGTTACAATATAAGAAATGTACATATAATATTACAACGTAATAAACTTAAAAACAGTGTTTAGGCATTACAAATTATTATGTCCAAGAGACGAAGGATTATAAGATTTACGTTTTGGCACTTGAATAATCCTTGACTACGGAAGAACATTATAAATTTATGGGTGTAAAACTCATTATCCTTACGCTTTCACTTGAACCTAACCACTGCTAAGACCCAAAGTTTAATAGCTTAACAATGAGCTCAACTCAAAGGCTTTTAGTGAAAAACAGCTAATACGAAAAAATATGAAGAAAATACCTTGCTTATGACAATTGTTATTTCAAGATCTGCGAATCGACGTCCAATACACATTCTCCTACCGAAACCAAAAGGAAGTGATGCAAATCCATGACGTTGCTCTCCATCATTCAACCATCGCTCGGGTAAAAACTGATTGCAATTTGAAAAATACCTTTCTTGGTTACTAATTACGTAGTGTTGAAATACCACCTGTACCTATTACAGATATTTACGAAGATTACAAATTAGTCGTAATTATCAATCATTGAATTTGGAATGATTATTGGTATGTTATTTTACATACACCTTTAGGAATATGATAGCCTTTAATTACAGTATCCTTGGTCATGCACCGCCCATTTCCAATTACAACTGGATACATTCTCAAAGTCTCACGAATACATGCTTTGAGGTATCGTAGGTTATCCAAATGTTTACGTTCAATTTGATTGTCTTCTACAGGTAGTTCACGTGCTATCTCTTCATGTAGAATTGATTGCTTTTCTGGATGAAGTGCCAGTTGATATAAAATTGAACCAACAGCAGTTGCGGTCTGTTAAAAATTTGATTAAAGTTTATATTAATTAAAGTGTTTCCACAAAACTATTTTTAAAATAAAGAGTTTATTTTTACAACTAAATGTATATATTTCACTGAGTTTAATTTGAATGAATGAATTGATAATATTTTTGACCTCTGAATTCGAAAAAAAAAATTATTTACCGTATCGATTCCAACTAAAAATAAATCGAGCGCTAATATTGATGCTAAATGACTATTATTATCATCCATTTTAAGTATTCTCTCAAGTAGTGATAATTCTTGCGTCTCTTTCTTAATTTTTTTTGAGTGATCCATTGCAATTTTTGAGTATTTAGAAGTAAAACTGGAATTAAAAGAAAATTTTTAATGTCAGTTGATTTAATATGAGTTAAAGATTATTATGTTTACCTGAGTATGTAATCCAAAGCATTAACATACGCACACCATTTCGGAGTTTTGAATAATTTCCAAAAAGGGAATTTTAACTCTAAAATTCCAACATTTGTGAAAAATGTGTGTACAGCATCTATGAGCTGTTGAGTTTCTAAATTAGCATTTTCATCCATACAACCAAGTCGAAGGTCCAGTGCAACTTTAGCAATTGCTGACAAATGAAATTAAAAAAAAAAATAAAAGAGTTATGTAGTTAAATAGTAAGTAGATTTTAAGTACTTACATTCTAAAGACCATTTATTTATTTCATTTAAAAAATCATCAGGTACTTCATTACTTTCATCTCTGATTTGTTGAATTCTAAATAAATGAATGGTATTCTTAATAGTCTTAGAAATTTTTCTTAATTACAATTTATTTTAATAGAATTTACCTTCTAATGAAAGCTAGACTTGATTCTTCAATTGCACTCGTATATAAACTAACAATTCTTGGTTGGAGCATCACCTGCTGTACTTTGCTACGAAATTGATACCAACTTTCACCATGTCTGAAATAAGATCATATTACCTTGAATTTTTTTCAATTTTTTATGTAAAAGAATTTCAACTAAATGATTTAATACTCCAAAAATGATACAATGTGACTTACACAGCAATAAGACCACCATTGTCTTTGAAGAAATCTTTTCGGAGAATGTGTTTATAATAATTAAGAGATGGCATTGAAGGACGATGTGGCATTGTTTCTTCTTGACGAAAAATTCGTTGGATTTCATCTGCATCATACAAAAAAACCATATCTGGTCTTCCTATTAATCCCTCGATTTTTACAATGTCCCCATATTTTTCATACAATCTTTGGGATACTTTGTCGATGCTTTGAATGTTGAAGTCACCTGGTAATAATTTTCAAAAATAGAAATCAACTGTTGTAAATGAAAAGTCGTCTTGAAAATATGACTTATGGTGTAAAAGATGTTTGAAAATGTTTATTATGTTATTACCAACGTAGGGAATAAATCGCCATGTGTTGCCCAAAAGTGGGAGTGGTTTAGGGCCTGGAATTTCCTTATACGGTCGAACACATTCAAGTTGTTCCTCATTAATATTCTCAACTAAGGTACTAGCATTTCTATCAAACTTTATCTCATAGTTTTCGTTTTTTTTCACTAAATGATTATTCACAATAGAACTGTACTTTCTAACAAAATTTTTAATAAACATTATTCGACTGTTTTGCATTTTTAATGTAGATTTTTTTTTTTCAAATTAATCAATTTAAAAGATATTGATATTTTGCACTAGTTTTATTTCACAACTGTACCAAAGGATGCTCGAGATCAAATGTTTTTTCGATTGCGGACAGAAAATAATGGGCAGGCAGCAGAAAGTACGTTCAAACTTTCTTGACAGTCCGCCCTACATTCGATAATTGCTTTTTTGCCACGGACAGTTTAAAGATGAAATGGTGATTTACTAAGTATTTTCACCAATTCTATTAAAATTGTTTATTTTGAATCTATCACGATTCACAATTCAATTCTGAACTGTATGGAAGACGATGGTGGTTTGACATGTTTTAAAAGTTACGCGTATTTAAATTTGATAGTGGGAGATATTTCGAGAAGGGGAAAATAAAAGAATATTATACTAGTAGATTAAGTTATTGCTACAACTAGGAAATGAAAGATAAGTTGTAAGTATTGAAATTATAATATATACGTTTGAATGGAATAACTTTTTTTTATAATAAACCATTATTTTCTTTTGTTATTATTCTACTAGAATGACTCTGTTGAAATTTTATGCGAAATGATGACGAGTTGCGTGAGCTCGAAACATCGACAAATAATGCAACTTTAATAACATGTCTTCTATTCTTATTCAAATAATAAAGGAAGTTAAAAAAACGATATATCTATGATAAATGCCTTTTTTAAGATGTTTGAATATACATAAACAAGATTTGTGTTGCAAATATTAATTTATAATTTTCCACAGTAATGTTTTGATTTGTACAAGATAAAAAAACTGTTATATGAATTAAAGATTGATATATAATTATACTTCTACTTAGTTGATTTATGAATTTATGAATGATAAATAAAGGTGTTAAATTGTTTAAATAATTGATGTGTTTATGTTCAAATTAAAATCAGTGGATACAAAAGACATATTGTAAAGTTTTTGATTTTAAACACTGATGGCGTTGATGATTAAATCTGCTTGATCGACAAAAAAACATAACCTAACAACTGACTACAACAACTTTAAAGAACGTTTAATATCAATAACTTTGAAATGTTGTTCATTAATTAATGACTGGAATAAATACAAGTTAAAAGTTTTTTATCGATAACAATTGTTGGTGAATATTTGTTTTTACTGTAAATAATATAATTGTTGACAAAATGTCTGAAGAAGAAGTTGACGATTATTTCTTCATGAATCGTCCTAGACGAAAATTTACTAAAGAACAACAAATGCTTGGTAAGTAAATTATCCTAAATATTTTTTGGTAAAATAAAAAAGTTGAAAATTTACCTTGCAATTCACAAATAAAAATTTTTCTAGGTATGTGGGCTGATGACAGTGATGAAGAGGAGCTCCCTGCAAGAGCTCCAACCAGAGTCTTCAATAAAGGGCCAAAAAATTATACTGCTCCAGTAAATTTTGTTGCTGGTGGTATTCAGCAATCAGGAAAACCTGTAGAAGAGAAGAAAGATGAAGAAAAGAAAAAAGATGACGATGATGATGAAGAATCAATGGACGTTATGAACACTTCTAGGTATATATAGCATTTAACGAATTATTAGTATAGTTATTAACATTCTACGTATAAAATAAGACTAGTTAGCATGTAATTCATTTTTATAGTGAGTCAGATGATGACAATATAAAAAACATGAAACCAAGATCATTTGCTATGAGATTGGAAGGCGAGGGAATAGCAGGGTTACGTAAAAAAAGAACACCAATTAATCCAGCTTTGATGAAAACTGGAGTTGGTAGCTGGGAAGTTCACACGAAAGGAATAGGAGCTAAACTGCTGCTTCAGGTTTATATAGCTTTCAATATTAAAATATTTTAAACAATTTTTGTAAATACTAATACTAATCAATAAATTTTTTTTCAGATGGGTTTCGAGCCTGGAAAAGGATTAGGAAAACAATTACAAGGAATAAGTGCTCCAGTAGAAGCTCATTTGAGAAAAGGAAGAGGGGCTATTGGTGCATATGGACCAGAGAAAGTTGCAAAAGTTCCAGAAAAGAAAGACGAAGATGCGGAGAAGGAAAAAGAATTCAAAGCTAAATTAGCACATTGGCGTAAAACTGATGGTAACGTGAAGAAAAAGACTAAATATACGTACAGAAGTGCGGATCAAGTAGTGGAAGAAGGAAAACTAAAACCAGGATTAAAAGGACCAATTGGAAATGATATGAGTCGAGTCAAAGTTATTGACATGACTGGACCAGAGCAGAGAGTATTAAGTGGTTATCATGCTATTGCTGGCCAGAAAAGACCAGAGGAATTAATCACAGACATTGATAGAAAATCTTTAACGAATTTTTCTTTACCAGAACTTCTTCACAATTTAAATTTAATTGTCGAAATGTGTGAACAGAATATTATTCAAAATGACAGGCGTACTAGACATTTAAGTGATAGAGTTGTAGCTCTGGAAGCGGAGAAAAAAAATATGATGAAGGTCATAACCAACCATGAAAAGCTTATTGATACTCTAGAAAACGTTCTTACAATAGTGGATAAATTAATGGATAACAATGATGAAATGACTCTAGAAGAAACAGCTGTAGCGTTTAAAAAACTTCAAGATGGATATTATGAAGAATATAAAGCATATGGATTAGGAGAATTAGCTAGTAGTCTTGTAGTTCCCAAAATTAAAAGCTGTTTAAGTAGTTGGAATCCATTAATAGAATCTAGTCAACATATACACATGATTAAAGAGTGGAAAAATATTCTAGAAGTTGGAACAGACTCTCTTCAACCGAAAAATGGAATGTATCCATATGATCAATTGATTTGGAATTCTTGGATGCCATCAATTCGCGGTGCTGTACAAGAGTGGATTTGTAAACAGCCGGATCCATTGATTGAATTGTTAGAAAATTGGATGCCATTGTTACCTCGATGGATTTTAGATAATATTTTAGATTTATTAATACTTCCAAAGTTGACGTTAGAAGTAGAAGAGTGGAATCCACTTACTGATACCATTCCAATTCATACTTGGATTCATCCGTGGTTACCATTGATGGGAAATCGTATGGATATTTTAATATATCCAATAATTCGTCGTAAATTAGGATCAGCTCTTGGAGGTTGGCATCCTTCTGACAGATCAGCACGATTAATATTAGAACCGTGGTCAGAAGTCTTTTCGAAAGGCGATATGGAAGCATTTTTAGTTAAAAATATCTTGCCCAAGTTGCAAATTGTGCTTTCTGATTTTATTATCAACCCACACCAACAACATTTAGATCCATGGAACTGGGTGTATGAGTGGGCTTCTTTGTTACCAACTCACACGATGGTTGGTTTATTAAATGAATTTTTCTTCCCCAAGTGGTTGCAAGTATTATCTTCATGGCTTAACCACTCGCCTAATTATGAACAAATCACTCACTGGTATATGGGGTGGAAAAAGATGCTAAATGAAAAATTATTAGCAGAACCTATCATACAAGGTTAGTAATTCTATTTCTATTCTATGCTGTGCTTATAATATGTAAATACTATTTAACAAATATAAAAGTAATCGTTTTCTAATTGTAATTGATATTTTCAGAACATTTCAATCAAGCATTAGAAATGATGAATCACACTGCTATCGCATCTCAAGGTCATCAACCTGGTGCTATGGAACAAGTTTCATATCTGACAAGTTTAGAAAGAACTCAGTCACAAATTCCGGTTACTCCACAACCGAGAATAGAGGTATAAATGATCTAAATATCATTAATTTTACATTAATATTCACCAATATCGGAGGCCAGTTGTATATTTAAATGAGTTTTGAATTAACAAATCATAATATTAGTATGTTAAAGAGATGAATATAGAATTACAGACTATTATAATAAAATTAAATATTTTTACTAATATTTTTTTTTTCTGTCACAGAATATTGTAGAAGCTGTTCGTTTTGCATCACGAATGCCCCATGGTTTTAAAGAACTTGTTCAGCAAAAATGCGAAGATAGGGGTATTCTCTTTATGCCGATTCCGAATCGATATCGTGAAGCTAAACAAGTTTATAAAGTTGGAAATGTGCAAGCTTATATCGATGGAAATTCTCTTTTCGTCAATCACAAAAATTCTAATTGGATACCAACAAATCTCAATTCTCTACTCGACATGGCTGAAATTTAATTACTTAATACATTATCATGTAAGACTATATGAATATGAATATTTTTTATTCACCATACATTCAATATTTATAAAATTGTATATATTTGTACACGATCAATTAATATACTTATGTATTATGATTAGAAATAAGATGAGATATTAATAAGTTGAAAAGAATTCTATTTAATTCACACGCACATTAATAAAACATATGCAGAAAAATGTAAGCATGTACATGCGTGGGCAGTATGAAACATTTCTACCTAACCAGTCGAATCCGAGTGCGTGTGTAGGCGCTTCTGGTTATCCCACTACTAAAGTACAGCTTAAAAACTTCCTCGATATGGAAAGTTGCGCGCAATACGCATATACACTCTATCGTTACACGAGACCGATGAATAGGTGTGCCATAAGTTCAGATGATACTTTTCCATTACTTTTTCCCCTTCATCCCTCACTCACCAGTACAACTCCGATTCTAAATGTGTGAAAGAACTGCAAGACTGGTCCTCGAAGGATAGACTTCCTTCGCCCACGTATACAACTGATATCTGTTCTCCCGTTCTTCCCTTTATATCAAATTTCTGATAATTGAACCTAACCGATTAAAGTGATTAACCTTTTGATTTACACTTTCTTTACTTCCTGACTTTGATAAAAAATATTTTAAGTTTTTTTATCATGTAAGTTAAATTACTGTATTATCATGTTATCAATATTAGATATTAATAAATTTATTAATAGTCAATGTTTGTTAATATAAAAAGTTAATAGCAATTACAAGAAAATTTAATTACCAGATAAAATTTACTTTCTTCTGCGAAGTAGTAATTTATGATGGTGTTCATTATTTTTCACAAGAGATCAACGAGTACATTCATCAAGGCTAAAACAAATTAAAGATATCAACTCTTATAAAGTGACTATTTAATAGTGTTCTTTTACAAGCATTTATTTATGATGTTTAGAAATTATAAAAAAAAATATTTGAATGAATTTATCATAGTAAAAAATACTCTTACTTCATGAAGAAATGGGAAGGAAATAATTAAAGACATAATTCATTGAATTAAAGGTGAATGTAAAATAATGATTCCAGTTATATGTTGAGGGTCTCTCATACATTCTAAGAATCTCAATCTCTTAACAACATGTTCTCTTTAACTAGAAATAATTGCATCGACATTTATTCATTTGCATAGAATTGTTACAAGTGTTCTAGTGAGTAGCATTATAAATACGTATATACAAAAAAGTAATACCACACTTCACGTGTATACTTCAGACATTTGTGTGTCACAATTTTATTGGAGCTAAAATGCATATGTTTCAACCTAACAATTTACTGTTGCGATCATATAAAGATAAGCTAGTATAAATCAGTACAAAGAAATTATTAGCAATGAATTATATCAATAATAGTCTTTATCTGGCAGTATCAATTGACAACTTTCCGACAAGACGTTCATCTTGATTCATTTACACACTATGAACCATCTATTACCCACGTATTTTTCTGTCAGTCAATGCTTATAAACACCGTTATTTTGTGTGTTATATAAATATTGAATTTTTTTAATTTTATAATTGCGACTGAATAGCATATATTAACTCGTTGAGTATTGTTTCAATTTTTGAGTGAAAAATATTTTATTGAAATTATTGATAATAATATATTATTTACTTTAAAGAAAAAAAGCAAGTTTTAAAGCATGAAATAATTTTAAAATTCGGAGTAAAACAATTTCTGAAACTACGTTAATTGTTTTAAATTACTGTACTTGACTGGTAGAATGAAAACCAAGCTTATTGAATGTTGAAGAAAAAATGTGAGAACAAAGATATGATTTTCTTCCTCTTTCAATTCTCAACTATTGATGAATCAATGATGCATCAACCGCAAATGGCATTTTTTTTTATTATATGTAAATTTTCATAGAAATATTTGTATGCATCATGTGTAAAATATTTCTGGATAATGGTACCAAGACTACGCCAATGTAAAACGTAAAGCAATAAAATCTTTTGCGTGGGCGACATCAAGAGATTCGAAGTTCCTGAGAGAACAATACATATAATATTACAAAGCTAATGCAAAACATGACTCCGTTATGTATAAACTCACGAGATTCATCATTGTTCAATATTTTTCACTTGTCTCTTGAGCTTCAAGTCTTGATATCTCCTTTGTTTTCTAGTTTTTACATCACTATGATCAATAATTATGACTTGTAACAATCATCAAGAGTATTATTATTACATCTTCTTTATTTTCAATGAAAAAAGTTAATTAATGGCATCTTATGTTTCTCAATAAATAATATAATAAAAATCTAATAGAAACCTGAAGTTGATCAATAAGTTAATTAATTTATTACTTATACTGAGTTGTAATCTATTTCTTCAACAATTTTAAAGGCTTTCCTACACCAATTGAAGACACAATAATGAAATTAAATCGACATACAATGGGCTGATTGAAATTCAAACTCGTTAAGTATGATAATGAGATATCTTTTCATAATACATATATATCTATAAAGTTACAACCTGCAAATTAAATCTTTCTGTAAAATTTGCACATTTCTGGTAGACTTTAATTATTGATCATTTTTCATCTTTTTATTTTATTTTTTTTTCATCATAACATCAATAATTATAAGTCAGGGCAATTTGAAAAAAAAAAGATTTCGTTATAATTTAGGGCGATTAAGTAGTCACCAGTCGCTTACGACAGACGAATTACATTTTTTTACAAGCCATGAATCACAGTGGAGTAAAATAAAAGAATTAACAAACGTACGACTTTCTGGTGATATTCGAACAGGCAACAGGTGTGGAACATACAACAAGCGTTTTCTCGTGACTGGAAAGACTCTCTCGCAACTTGTTGAATTTTTTTTTTCTCAACCAGAAGGGAACCAATGATGATATTATTATTGCTTCCTGTCCCCGTGATTTTGTAACTGACTTGTAGTTTGTAACATGCATTTATGTTTCTGCTGCAGCTGAGAAAGTTAACGAGGTGCAGACCTTGTTAACGATTAACTATAAAGATGATGGTATTGGAACTGCATGCAAACCTGAGGCGTGAAAATTGCTGCAACTATATAGGTATATTAATAATGATGAAAATGAAGGATGTTGTGGTCAAGATAAAAAAATATTAGTATTTTTCTCGGCATCTATGATCACTTTGCCGTGACGAGTAATACCAGTAACTATGAATTACGTAATTGTGCGAAGGCGCTTAGCCAAAGAGTATAACACGACCGGAAGTTAAATACAATTGTGTGAGTATCCATTCTGTGTTGTGAGAGTATTATATCCCGTCGTAATTCACGGTGCTCGGAATTTCGATTGCTTAAGACCACGTGTAGTCGATTTATATAGATATTCATTAATGAATCTTTCAGTAGTATTGATTGAAATACACATTTTAATGTTTATTAGTTAGTTTTCTCTACTCGATCTTTATCTTTTATATCAATGGCAACATGTACCGTTATGGTAAAATTCTGACTTTATCTTAGTTAAATATACGAAGAAACTTATCTACATATTTCCACATGAGTCACAAGAATAATATTACCTTGTTGGCCTCACTACGAAGGACGAAGATGTCTCCGCATTCTCTTAAACATATTATAAAAAATAGAATTGAAACATATTAGCTTATGAAACTTTACGTTGAACTAACAAATGATTATAAAGAAAATTTATTCCTTTTATTCACTTTAAAAATATTTTATTATTATTTTAACCTCAAATCAAATAAAATTCATAAAAGTTTCATCTGCTATGATAAGAGTACTTTTTTTGTGATAGAGAATAAAACATTCTGTTGATGGTTTTAGAGTTATTTCGATGATTAATGATATTTTTCGTGAGTGTTAAAAATCTTTCAGCTCGACATTAATTGAAATTAATTATTAAGTCGGTTACTTTCGCTTTCATAAAATGTAATATTCATCATGAGTTAATGAAAAAATATGATCGGAAGTATGACTTGGAATTTGTTCCCTTAATTACGACAAATAATTATTTTAATATAATTTACGCTCTCTTATGTATTTTACAACAAAAAAAAAAGTAACTCTTTCAACATATTTTAAGCTAAATAAAAAATTTTTTTCTTTCTTCATTTTTAAATACATTTTAATGATTGCTTGGTAATTTTATTAAAAAATAACCTAGATGTTGTTGAACTTAATAAGAACTATCGCAAAAAATATCGAGAACAATGAAATTATCGACATCGTTTATATTTTATTAGAACATGTTTTCTTTCAAATGTTTAGATAATCGACTTATCAAAGTACGAGCTATTATCTTAATGGATTGAAATTTTGACCTGATCAATATAAAATTACCATATTATCCCAAATAGGTATTAGATAACGTCGTGACAGTATAAGAACATGCACAAGTGTCTCCATTAAGTTTTTTTTTAATCCCCCGCGATGTCGTATTTCTCGCACGATGTCCCCCGGCATCGAGTAACCGGGCGGCGCCGATCATCGTCGATCTCGAGAACTTCCGAGAGCAAGCGAATGTGCCCGACTCACAGTCAGAATCGAATAACGTTCACGCGACTTACCACGCTCCTCGTTAACTCGTTGTGTCTTTGAACATCGCGCTCTTAACTCCAAACTCATGTGTACAAGCACGCACGCTGTTCTGTCTACATCGTGTGATGTGCGAGTGCGCGATTCATCCCCTATTGCGCGCCCTTTTCGATTACTAAAAATTATTACAATCATTATTAATAAATAACTTTGATGTTTAATAAGTTTAATGTTAATTAATAAACCGAGACGTTTAAAATACTCAATAAAAACATTTACTGCCTTCTGAAGTTTACAGACAGTTTGAGATTATTTTTTTCTGAGTGATTGAAGATTTATGACTTTTAGTTTTACTTTGTGATTATTTTGATATTTTTATAACAACATTTTCATTTATTTTAGTGTTATAAATAATAATAAATAAAGAAAGCATATTTCATAGTTAAACGTTATGGAATCCGTCTGTGGAATGGTGAGTTTTATGTTATGTTTTATGTAAACGATGCTACTTCATTATGTAGATATAGTGTAATAAATAGCTGGTTTTATTCACTTCATTTAATTTGCAAAAAAAACAACGTACATTTTCTTACGAATCAGTTGGAATTTTATTCTGAAAAAAAAGTTTTGTTTAGGGGTCATTAATTTTATAGTTATAATTAATATTATCATTAGAAAAATCTCTCAATATTTTTTCATTATTACAGTTTCTTTACTGAATAAAAAAAACCGATAAAAAGTTAGTGCCACTTTGAAAAACATTTCAGAGTACTCCAAAAGTACAAAAAATTTTCTTTTAATTTTAATGATTTTTAGTCAGTGAGATTACGCGAAAATACTCTCAAGCTCTTGGTGGATTATCGAAATAGTATTAATAGTCACATTAAGAATTGAGATGCTATCTCATGTGAGACGTGAATGCAAAGAGCTTGATCTCTAATGGGTTTTTTCAAGCATTTTGATATAGGTATTGATACGATTACTCGAGTAATCTCGCGTTTCGCATTAACGTCAAGTAACGATAAAAGCATTTTATGATTGTTAGAGATTTCAGTATTATGGTTGGTGCTACATGCTTGAGCGATAATATTTGAGTGACTACGAAGTAAAAAGGATACTTTAGAAAATGGAACTCTTAGACATCAACATGAAGACAAGTAAAAACCATAAGATAAATTATATATCATTTTATCATGTCAGCTTTTGCCTCACACTTAAACGTGATTATTATTATTGATAATTAACGTGAAATATTAACGCTGTAATAAATGCTTCAAGATATAATGTATTGAAATCATCAAGGTTAATTTATTGAAAGGGTTAATTGGAAAAGTTAATAAATGTATGTATATGCAGTTTAAAGTCAATTATAAATCATAAACTCGATTTGATAAAAGTCAAACTTGACAATAATTCTATTGTCAGCTACCATACGCCAATTAGTGAATGGATAGAATATGATTGTAATAATTTGTTATCTATTTTATAGATATCAGTTTGCATATGAATCACTGACATCAATTTACTGATATTATTCAGTATGACATTACCATGATAAAATTTATATACACAATCTCACCAACATGACAATTATTTTTTCTTCACATAAAATTCTTTTTTTTCCTCTATTTTTTGTGAGTTTCAATCAACAAATATTTTTATTGGTAACTTTTTTTTTTTTTTGTTGGTGCATTGAATAACAAATTTCAACAAGACGACAAAAAATACTTTAGAATCCATTGTTTTAATAACACGAGATAAAAATTTAATTAAAACAATTTTTTTTTCTGCCTGAATAGACAGAAAAAATGTCATTTTATTGGAATCAATTTAGAAATTCAATAAAATATTTAAACGTTAAATAAATATTGTAGAATAAATTTTTTTTTATAACAAGCACTTGATGTTTTTTTTTTTCAATCAAATAATAATAATAATTTTTATGATTTATATTTATTATTTTCTTGGAAAAAAATATTCTAAAATCATCATTGTATTTGAGAGAATGAAACCTTGAAGTCTAATGTAGTCTATGAAAAATCTATGAATGGAGATATGTATAGGCAAATAAAAAGAAGAAAAAACTATACGCATTTTATGATCGTCGGTCTTCCATAGTTAATAGGTTGATGATATTGAATAATATCTGGTGGAGGTTAATTTGAAATTTCCATAAATATATTTAAGAAGTACAATAAAACATGACTTTGTTAAAAGAACTCATAAAAAGCTGTAGAAAGTAATGTTCCATCATTAACTTCTAACGGCAACGATTTCTTGTTATTTCACTATATTTTCAAACATTAGCAAGCAGAGACACTTGCTCACATGCGCATTCTCTTGTCCTCTTGACATATATAAATAAATGATCCTGCATAAATTACGCATAAATTATCACATGACCATATTCTAATTCATTTTGCGTGGGTATGGGTGTTATTATTGCAACGGAAGGTAAACGAGCGAGAGAACAGAATCGACTTGGAACTGGGTATTGCAATGTCTCTTCTACATGACGTTGGGTATATGTACTGAGATGGGAATAAATTATAAATATTTTTTTAACCAACTCCGTTAGCTGGTTTTCTTATGTACATACAAAGAGGTAACATGGGACTCTTGGAATAATGCTAAATGATACCTATTGGATAATATTAATCTTTTCTCCAATATCTCATATCCCTGGTATACATAGCATTGGACTTGGCGTCTTGTACACATGAATCTGTCCCTGGATCTGCAAACGAATCAGCCGAATAAGGAATTCAATATCTCATCGCATTGAAAAGAGAGTCGGGGACGGTATCACGAACGATCAAAGCCGTTGATCAAAGTGATGCCGATCGCAGTGCATCTCGTATCGAATCTGTTCGATCTGTTTCAGTGGTTCATCTGTATCTTGAGCATTTTTCATTTTCTTTTATAGCTCATCTTCGCATTGTCCAGCTTCTCATCCCAACTTGATTTCAAGAATTACGTGACTGCCGCTGTGAATGAGTTCCTTCCTATACGTTTCCGCGGGTCACAATGAGAGAAACAGCGGCTCCATAAGTTGTCCGGGATCTGGTGATGAAGCAAAAAGTTGAAATAACGCGCCAGGCTGGCGCTGAGGCCGCGAGATCGTCAATGGCGATCACGTGTGCTCGCGAGCGGGTCGCGATTCGAGCAAGCCAAAGACGTTTGTGTATACAGAGGCGTGTACCGATACCTAGTGGAGACAAGGGGGCTGTGATACTCTTGTACGCATGAATGGAACTTTTCATTCACGTATTGTAACAACAACTACCCAAAGGAAGTAAACAAAAGATTCTTTTCTTTATTTTTCATGTTTACATACGAAAATTAGCCTCATTTTTACAATTATTTTCATGAGAACAATCGATTGATTTCCATAACAAATCGATTGCGTGTTCAACGGCAATCCAATTAAATTGCTAAATTTGAAAGAATGTTAGCAAGAATTTGTAGAATATCCCATGAAAATTAGCAATTTTCTTTGGGATGTCTCGATACAATGTAATCAGTTAGATCGTTACTGCGCCGGCGCCGTCGATCTTGTAAATCAAGTCTCGTCTCTGCTGCAGGCGTCGCTTTGAACAGAATGGGACTATGCTCTCGTTGGCGCAGGTACTCTATACTTGATGTAACGTACGTATAAGAAAAAGAAAGACACGTATGAGAGAGATAGAAAATGACTGGTGCGGCGCTCAGGCTGTTTTATATCGAGAGAGACCAAATGTCAGTTTCCTTCTCGGCGAAGCTGCTGAGGACTTATAAGGAATAAGGGCTATACACTTGTGAGCATACACGCAGACACGAGAGAGAAAGACACCCGTCTTAAACGAGTGAGTTGGTTGAACTCGCGCGAGCGCATGCGTTCATGATCGGTAAATCGCACGCGTGTGCACGTTAGCAATACTTTAGGTCTTTCAAGGAGTCTCTGGGATTGATGAATGGACGACGACATCAACAAGAACGAGACCATTTGGTATAGATGGTAATCAATGATTTGAAGCTCAGAAGAAATTTTTATTAGTTTTAGATTTTTTTGCAGAACACAAAATATAATATCAATTCAAATAAATTATTTTTTTTGGTTAATACTTTGCAGAAAATTCTAGATTATTTAATGAGAAAAACGTTGCGTTTTTTTGTTGAATAAATCGTAAAATTTTTACTGTTTTCCGCAGTAATTCAATTCATCATCGTGTGATAAAAAATCTCTACACTATTCTGTAATTTTTTACGATAGAAAAAAATCTCAACTGACTTGTATTATTAAAATTAAAAATTTGATAGTTTTTCGTCATTCACAATTTGGAAGGTTAATAATTTTTCACAAATTTCCTTTAAGAGAATAGAGTATTAATTTGAATTCAGTTCAATAAATCGGTTAAGCAGGATTAATAATTCAAAGCAAACTTGAGAAATGGAATACTTGAATGAGACTGAAATTATTACAAGATCGAAAATATAAACACGTTATTTATTACATGAAGAAATTCACATAAGTAAATGGATTATTCGATCGAGTAATAAAAAAATAAACATTTATGTATCACTTAATAGATGCCTAATCGTGAGAAAAATGTGATACAGATTTGAAAAAAGATCCTTTATTGAGAACTCGAACCATTAATCATCTTGTTATCTGATGTATGTAAATCAGAAAATATATATCAATTTCATAATAAATGTCATAGAATAAATTTGAAAAACAGAAGATTTACTGAAAAAGAATGGAGAAATGGTAGTTGTCGAGACAAGATTTTAACGTTGAGTACTTGTCTGATTGTTTGATGAATTCCCGCAGGTACACGCCTATATTAAGAGTGCAACTATTATCCTAAGGACTATATATGTATTGAGAAATGTACGATGTTCCATCTCTGGAATGCAGTGTTTGATGAATGAAGACGAGGAGAACGAAGGGATGCTGGTTATTCGTTTCTTCTTTTTCTATATTCTTTTTGGATTTTTTTCCCTTTGATCATCGTCTTTAGCTCAATGGAACGAGTTTTCCAGTCGCAGCAGTGATCGTTGAATTGGAGCAGGATCGTTACGTAGTCCAAGCAATTCATTTAAGTACATTACATTCGTAACGATTAAGGCAGAATAAAAAATCGTACGAGCGTTTTATTCTAATTTTTATAGCCAATACGACATGCTCCAGTGCTGTTACTTCACACTTACTTTTTCTCTTCGAGTATTCATTACTCTTACTTTTTTTTTTAAGCACTAAAAAATATATTTATCTTGGTGATTAAAACAAAACTGTTATTTTGACAGAATTATGCATTGCTTTGGGCACAAATTACCAAGAAATATTCGAGTAAAAATGCTAAAGATGATAGGATAACGTGTTATAAGATCTGTTATATAGTAATGCATTACACGTTCTCGCCCACACACTTTGTCCTGCTAACCTTCGTGGATCCATCCCGCGCCTTGGATCCGTGAGAATTCTTAGAA